ACGGGTGACGGAAAGGTGGATCGGGAGATCGACAGGAGGATTGGGGCTGCGTCTGCAGTGATGCGGGCGTTGTACCAATATGTCGTGGTGAAGAGAGAGCTTAGCCAGGAGGCAAAGCTCTCGATTTACTGGTCGATCTACATTCCTACCCTCACCTGTGGTCACAGGCTTTGGGTATGACTGAAAGAATGAGATTGCGGATTCAAGCGGCCAAAATGAGTTTTCTCTGCATTAGAGGTAGGGTGAGAAGCTCGGTCATCCGGGAGAGGCTCGGATCCGCTGCTTATCCACATCGAGCGGAGCCAGTTGAGGTGGTATTGGAATGATTTGTGACAGACCAGGTTTCTGAACCGGATCAAGCTGGATTTCTCACTCTGGGGTGGGAAAGTGTTGGTGTCTTGTTTATGAGTGAGGGATGGTTAAGTGCTGAGCCTAACTGGAATGTTCTCCAATTACTGGTCCATAAACCTTCCAATCATCTCCTAGGCTCCTGAAATTTGGATTGTGACTGAAATAACGAGATTCAAGTGGAGGAAATTAGCCTTCTCTTCAACTCGACCTTAGATGAGCAGAAGAAAATGGCTGATAGAATATTATCATTCATGCAGTGACAGGGGAATTTAGATAATCTCAAAGGTTTGATTAAGTCTTTTTCTTAGAAATGTGATATTCCGAGATAAAACACATAATCTTTGTAACTTCAACATGAACTTCCGGCTAGCTTCGGATTTGCGTGTGTGGTAACTTCCTACAAATCCTAATGGAGCCTTATCAAAGACCAGCATCAACTTCTGTTATTTCCTACTAGTTTTAGGATCATCGTATAAATTTAGTATCGCACTGTGAGTTCCTGTGAAACAGGCCAGACGTGGCTCTGTTCCTCTCCTGTCTTTACAAGGTTTGTTTGAAAGATGAAAGCAGAAATGGGCTCTCCGTCTTCCCCTCTCATAGTCAGACTGCTTGTCTGAGAGCTTTAATGTTCTCATTTTTAACTGGATGCATATTTACAAGCTTAGAGTTCTAATTTTAAATGAAAAGTCCAGTTTTTGTTTTTCCCAGATGGACTTATTTGGTCTGGCTTTTGTCCTGAATCACTTCCAGGGATTAAGTTATTGAAACATGTTACCTGTTGTTCTCATTGAGGGGGTTTCTGTGTTTAGTGGGTTGTGTGTAAAAATCTTTGGATTTTGAATAATGTTGAACTTGGTGCTGCACTAACAGTATGTTTCATTATAATTGTTACATACCTCAAGTCAGCGGTGAGAAGTTTCAGTGTGATTTAAACTAAAGTAGACTAAGAGTGATGAAACGTGATTGGTATTCCTACAACCAACAGGAATGTAATCACATTTGAAGAAAAAAAATCAAGTTTATACTTTCTTTGTTTGCTGAGAGCCAGCTAAATGTGTTTTCTATTTATTTTTGTTTGTCATGTTTTAGAAGTAGACTTTCACTTTTACCCTCGTCCATCCAACCATAAAACTGCCTGATAGGGCAAAAGAGATGTGTGCAGTTAATTTCAAACTTTTCATGAATGCAACACAAATCATATTTTAACAAAGAATAAACTGTAGTAAAATATAAGAATCAGAATGTTGATAATTCTTGTTTCTCTTTATTTAGTTTTATCCGTGAGCCTACAGAGATTATTACTTCATTTAATACAAGTCTACCTTCAGGGCACTGTCAGCCAGTATTATACATACACAGCATTTAAAAGAACAACAAAGGGAAAAGCTCCATCCATCAACCAATTTGTTCATTTTCTAGCACGTATCCAAGGTTGGATCATGGAGGTTACTGGTCCAGGTGCAACTGGGAGATCCTATGGCTCTTCCAGGCCTGAAAGGATATGTAACGCTCTGAGGTCCCCTCCCACTTGGACATTCCTTGAAAACCTCCAAAAGAAGTCAACCAGGGAGCATCACAATAAGAGACTTAAATCGACTCAGCTGATTCGTTTTGATGAGGAGGCGCCATGGTACCACTCCCATCTGGTGGATAGAGATCTCTAAGTGATGAGCACAACCACCCTACAGGAAATGATGAGCCACGGAAGACAGAAGAAGGGCAAGAGGCTGCTTGAGACATACGTACATGCCCAAAGGTCCAGCCAGTGGTGTTAGACCTGCAGGAGCTGACTCTCATCCAGGCCCCTCCACATTCAGCGAGAGGGTGCTCGCTGCAGAACTACAAAGGCGGAGCTGCACCATAAGGCGGAGCTGCACCAAAGTCAGCCCCGCCCATTCACGCAAACTCAGCCTATCCCACTGACTTCTTCTGTTTTTGTTTTTCAACTTTATCGCAAACTAACCTGACCCACATGAATTACAGCTGTTTTTAGTGTACAATTGTTAATGCTATGTTCTATGCTCCAATTAAACAAGATAAATATAACATGACAAAGCCTGAATATATCTCCAAATGAAAAGGTTTATTTTAGCAAATATCTGCCCACAGCCGCTCCAACAAAAACTGCATACGAGAGCATTTAAGTATATTTAATGGGTTCTGGTAGTCCAGTGGCAAGATCGTCTGACTTAAGTTTTGCTTTCCCCTCTGCTGATGCTGGTTCGACACTGGGTGGGCTCGGCAGCAATCTATTTAGCCAGCTGAAACATTTAATTTGTTTATATTTTAGTTGTAATGTTTATTTTCAGCAAAATATTTATGTCTCTAAAAGTTCTTTGAATTTGGTCGTTCCTAAACAGCATTTTAGTTGAAACTCTGCTCACAAATGGACTCACACTGGCTAAATAAACGAATAAATAAAAATAAACACATTAGTCATTATATTGTAAATGGTAAACCAATATATTGTTGTAAACATAGTACTGGCAAGTGTAGCTAGAAAAGAAGAAAAAGGGTTTTAAACTACCTTTATACTGCCGCTACTGGGAGACGAACCTGCGCAAATCTGCATGTTAATCTGACTCCATAACCACTTCTCCACTACATCTGATGAAATGCAAATGGTGTTACATGTAATTGTGCCATTCAGTGTGTCTTTGTAGATGAGATGTATGGTTTTTCCGCCAGTGTCTCAGTAGAAGTCATTTCAGAAATAATTTGTCAGAAAATTCACAGAATATCCAGATTTGAGAACCAAGACCAGACCCGCTTCGGGGAAGGAGACCAAATTGAAGCTGAGATGGGAGGAAAATGCATGAATGAGGCCAAAAATGGCTTTGGCGTGTTTCTTATGAGGAAATGACAGTATAACATAATAAAAAGTTTCAAAAGTTAGATTTTTAATTATATGGAACCTTTACATAAACTGTTCAATTAACTTCTCAACTCCATCCTCAATCTTGCATTTTAGATGATATTAGCTATAACACCCTCTTTGGTTCCAGAATGCTATCAAGTCTGACAACTGGAAGGAACTGGACTGACTCTGATGGAATGGGCGGGGCTGACTCTGGTGCAGCTCCACCTTCTGGCACAGCTCCGCCTTTGTGGTTCTGCAGCGAGCACCACTTGGATTGCATTCAGCTGTGATCTGGCCCATGCATGCTTTAGGTCAGGTCACAGAATCATTATCTGCATTTCCTGTTTAGTTTAAGGATGACTCCAAAACTTTCAGGCTAAATTTCTGGGGTATTAGGAAGTTAGTAAAGGAGAACAGAAACATTTTGGTTTTCGTCCTGACCGCGGAACATTTGACCAGCTCTATACCCATAAGGGGGTCCTGTAGGGTGTCGGCTGTAACTCGGACTCAATCCCAGTGAGAGTTAGGCTCATTCCCACCAAGGCTGCCCTTTGTCACCGATTTTGCTTGTAACACTTATAGACGGGATTTCTAGGCGCGGCCAAGGTGTTGAGAGCATCCTTTTTGGTGGCCTGAGGATTGGGCCTCTGCTTCCTGCAGATGATGTAGTCTTTTTGGCTTCAGTAGATCACAATCTCCAACTATTCCTGAAGCAGTTTGCAGCCGAGTGTGAAGCAGCTGGGATGAGAATCAGCTCCTCTAAATCCGAGTCCATGGTCTTGAGTTGGAAAAGGGTAGAACGCATTCTCCGGGTCAGGGACCAGGTCCTGCCTCAAATAGAGGAGTTTAAGTATCTCGGGCATTCATGAGTGAGGGAAAGATGAAGCGGGAGATCGATAGGCAGATTGGTGCTGTGTCTACAGTGATGTGGGCGTTGTACCGTTCTGTTGTGGTGAAGAGAGAGATGAGCCAGAAGGTAAAGATCTTGATTTACTGGTTGATCTACGTTCCAAGTTCCTTTCCAGTGGCCACGAGGCATCACGTTTTGGATGCATACCAGGAACGAAGGGATGCTTTTATTATGTTTTGAGTCTATTTTTTACACGCTACGCTTTTAAAACACGTCAAACTCTGCAGTTCAGATCGGTCCTGACAGGAAGTCAAGCACAGAAGCAATGCACAACATTTGTAAACTTTCTAAATAAAAGTTACATGCGGATTTCCAGTTGCTTAACTTGTAAAGCACGTTCGTCATCACCTGAGAAACCTTTGTAGCTTAGTTAAACAGACAGAAAATAAACCACAGACCTTTTTGGATGCATGCTGCCATCTTTCTCCTAGCTTGTTATCGTGTGAACTTCTGAAATGAAGCATTATGTTGCAATTCTCTTTTTTTTTTATGTTTGACCTCGTGTGACCTGCTGGGTGGAACACTGTTTCAGGTCTGAAACGCTTCTGGTTGGATTGGAGCTCATGGGTAAAACACCTCTAATACATTACATGCCCCTTTCACGTCCAGTGGACAGGAGGGCTAAGGAATACATTAGGATTCCCCCGGAGGAGCTGGCCTAAGTGGCTGGGGAGAGGGAAGTCTGGGCCTCTCTTCTTTTGCTGCTACCCCTGCGAGCCGACCCCAGACAAGCAGAAGAAAATATAGGGCTGGATGAGATAAATTAATAAAGACAAAAACTTTTTTTAAATAAATTTACCAGTTTAACACCATAAAAAGTCAGACTTGATCAGGTATCTGGTGAAACCTTTTCTAGTGATGCTTCTCTGTTGTTTACAGACTCATGCTCACAGCTCACTGGCCTACCTGGTGTCCCTTCTGGGCACAATGGAGCACAGCTTTCACCACACCCTGCTGCTGGAGATCAGAGCTCTGACTGACCGATACCCATCTTTACTGGGGGGTAGTAGCAAAGACATCTACAGGATGAGCAACTCTTTCACTACTATAGCCAGGCTGCTGGGACGGCGACTAGAGGACAAAACTCACAGCAGGTTGGAAAGGATGAGCTCACTGGCATGATGCACACACTTCATATGGTTTAAATTATACTCACACTCATCCATGAAATTCATTAGGACACGAAAGATGTGGCGTTAGTAAACCTATTCTTTACCATTATGTTTGGACAGATACCAAACAGTAACCAGGTGAGAATAAAAGACCAGCGTATGTTTTCTTTTGTTTTTTATATTCTTAATGAAGTCGTGTACCAGAGAGATCAGTAACTGAAACCATATAAATGTTTATTAAATGGCTTATTTTTTATTTTCTTCACCCAAAATGAAGTCAGAAGATTGGAGTCTCGGTGAAGGATCATAAAAAGCCAAATATTTGACCTGGAAATCGTGATGGGATAAAAGTGTTACTGCTCTTCTAGATTTATGCCTTTTTTCTCTCTCTTGGGGGATTTCCTGTTCCTAATGAACAGAGTTCATAAAAGGTGCTTAACAAGTATATTTTACCACACAAGAGGAAGTTTTGTGTGTTAATGTGAGTTTGTTGATGTGGACATTTGTGGTTGTGGTGTGGGGGTGACACACACACACAGTTTTCTCGTAAATAAGAACAGTGTGTGCAGGACTGGAGGCAGAGAGATTTATTAGTAAAAGAACATTGTAGGGGAGGACAAAAAGACAATAGGACCTTTAGAAATCCTCTTTTAGCAAACACGTGAATGCCCTTTTGTGGAAAAAGAAACAGGAACAGATCTGCAGAGAGATCAGAGAGGATTAGGAGACAGAAATAAAGTCAGCTGTTGTAAAATTACACTTGGAAGCCTGGTTTTATCCACGTTCCACCCGACCTTGAGTTCGTGTCCTGGTTTCAGGGTGGAGGAGGCAGGCCCATCACTCCAAACTGGAAGAGGAGGAGGCGGGGCATCAGAGCAGCTGCTGCAGGGGAATGTCCAGAGTTTTGATAAGAGAATGGGAGATGAGGGAGCTGAGGAGGAGGAGGAGGAGGAGGAGGACTCACCATCTCCCCAGCGACGGTACAGCCTGAGCCACGTCACCAGCGAAGAGAGACAGGAGATGAGATTCAACAGGTCAGTTGGGATGTCCCTCTAACGTACCTTCAGTTTTTCTTTGGTTTATTGATTAAAGCGATAGTTTTAGCTCAAAGTTTTCACAGCTTACCAGTTTGTTTTATTTTTATTCTATCACACCTGGATACCTTTAGTTGCTCGTGGGTGGATTTGTTAATAAGAGCTCCATAAAAGAGAAATGCTCATTCTAATTTAGATACGTAAATGTAACCACACTGAGCTGCTTCTGCTGGTGACCAGGTGTTAACGATGTTTGGAAGGAAGTTTCCTAAATATCTTCAAATTACCACGAAGACTCTCAGTTCACTCTCCACACAGACGTGCTCTCATGTTGGAGGAATTTAGAGCTTTTTAAAAACGTTTAGAGTTCAGATTTCGTCTTAAAGCGTTTCGCGTTTTCACGGCCACCTGGAGCTCAGTTTGGTTTCCATGGGTCAGGGAATATATTCAGGGTTCTTAAAGGTGCTGGAAATCCTTCCAAAAGTTTGAATTTTACTGTGGATATTTTCAAGGTTTTGAAAGTGCTTGGAAATGTTCCTCACATTAAAACAGTAACACTCATTTAAATGGGACATTCATGTTGGGTGTATCTGTTCATCCACATTCATTTTATGGATGAAATGTGCTTGAAACTGATTTTGGCAACGATATTTTGACCCCCTGGACCTTTGGAGGGGTTGCTTACTGAACTGTAAATAAAAGTAGGGATGTTGATATCGGTCTAACATCAATATTGGCTGATAAAACTTGTATTGTATGGGTAGAAAACATCTGTACAGGTTTTAACTCCTTTTGTGACCCAACTTTTACATATCATGCACATTTCATCTATCAAACTCTCCTCTCTCTCAAAACGTCACTGATGGAGACAAATTAAATGAGGCACTTTTCCTATTACTAAATATATAACTTAAATTAAAGTAGTTTTCATCTTGCACAGATAATAGCATGCATGATAGGAGATATGTGATGTTAGCATCCTAAAAATAAGTTGCTATTTATTTTTACGGGGTGGGGGGGTTTACGGACACCCCTGCATATATCGGATATCGGAAACTGAGAGTTGGACAATATCGGCTATTGGTAGAAAAGCCAGTATGTAGCATCCCTAAATCAAAGCAAACACACACTTTGTGACATGAATATTTGCAACAGCAGCACAACTTTAGCAGTTACCTCATATGCTGCACATTCAGGGTGACTCTCACTGAAAACGTACTCATTCTGTGCCTCCAACTAGTCGCCAACAGTCACAGCCCAATGAGATGCCGGATCAGTGTTAGTCACTCATTTTTACAGATTTTAGAAGACTAACTAAATCATTATTTTCAACCACGAGGAAAGTTTTTCAGATGTGCAGCAACAATCATTAATAGGACATTCACCACAAAAACGGATAGAAAGGTCAGCATTATTGTTTCAGACCAATCTTTAGGTCACCAGCACCTCTGGACATGGTGGCATAAACTTGTCCTTAAAATCTGGTGAAATATTGATGATATAATAAAGTTCTGTTTAGATAAAAGCATAACAAACATGTTTACTTAATCTGTATGTTTTTGAGTCCTTTTTATACACGAACCCCATTATTCATTCCATAAAACCTATAACAGCACATAAAAACTCACTAGCTAACGTAAAAATACACGTCAGCTCTTTATTATGATCAGGTTTTAGTGTGTTTTCTATGGGAATTCCTGTTCTTTGCATGCCAGATGTTTTGATCTTGTTTTGAGTGGCAGCAGCGATCACACAGTCCTGTTGGAAACACTACAAACACAAACTGTAAATTTGAAGTATGAACCGCCTGTTTGGTTTCTGCTTTTCATTCAGCCAAACCTGAAGCATGTGTATGTTCAGGCTCCTTCACCAGAGTTTGTTAAATGTTTTCCTGGTGGTACCTTTCTGCAGAAGTTTGGCTTTTAAAAGTTTTTTTTTAACTTAAGCAACATCAGAAAATACTTTTTTTAATCCGAAACAAAAATATTTTGGAGGCTCATTCAAAAACACAGAGCATTGTGAAATAAGAACTTTCTTCCACTATTATTTTCTTTAAAATGCATTCAATTATTTGTTGGAAAGGGTACTATTGACAAAATGTTCTTAGATTTTTGACAGAACATTCAAATGTAATTTTAAAACCCCACAAATTTAGGATTTATGATCTTTTTTTTGTTCGGTGTGTGTGCATGGGTGTGCTTGTGTGTGGTGTTTCTCCAGGTCAAAGAGCCTGGCTCTTCACGCTGCGCGTTCACGCTCCATCACTTCCGACACGGCGGATGACGATGAAGGGGCGGAGCCAAGCACAGACAGCTGCTTTTCAAATTCTCTGTCCAATCAGCACTCAGAAAACTGTGAGGCGTCGTCCTCTGAGATGGCAGGTGACGTCGCAGCTCCACTCAACGCTAACGAGAAAAAAGAGGCTGAAACTCCTCAAAGTGGAGAGATGAATGGAAAGAGAGGAGGCGAGGAGGAGGACAAACTCTTCATCCATTTAAGAGAAAATATGGAGACGCTCAGAGAGTTCAGTGAGGAGATGGTGAAGCAGATCCCGGTCCCAGAGCAGTGTGTGATAGAAGGTAACAATTTAATATCGCATTAACATTCATAGCGGACATAATGGCGGGTTTTTAGCATCCAGGTTGTAATTAATGTGCTTGATTATCCCGCCTGGGTAACCCAGGTAGTGACGAGGTTCATGTGATGCTTCTGTTTAAACAACCTCCTGCAGTTTGGCACCGGCTAGTTCTGCTCACAGTATTATCAGACTTATTGTTTGGAGCACACGACATGTCCAGTTCTCAGTTTGTTTCCTTAATTCCTTAAATGAGACGTTTTAAAGGTTATTTAACAACGATTTAATCTACAGGATTAAATCGTTACTTTTTCTATCACAATGCAGAATTTTTTTAGTCTGTCAGGCACGGGACCTGTCAACCACACCCTCTTGACGCCATCTTGAGTGTATGACTCGCGTTGCTAGGTGAAGCTGCAGCTGAAGTTGAAGCAGCACACACGAGTCAAAAGGAAGGATAAAAAGAACAAGGATGAATGCATCCCTACAGGGATGAACTTGTGAAGGAAGCTAGGGGTCAGTATTTTCAGAAATTGTCTACGATTGACTATGTGGATCCCTACGAGCTCAAGGGAAACAAATGGAGCTCAGACGTTTCATTACGGCCCGAAACATATCACTCAAGTAAGCGTAGCACTACTTCAACATATTTATAATCGAGTAAAAAGTAGCCACTACTTGAGTACTGGGTAACATCAGATCGAATCATTTTCTAACTATGTCACGTTTCAGACAAAAACATAAAGGTGTGGACGCATTTGTTTAGTTATTTTAAAGACCAAAGAAAGAAATGATACTAATAAATAACATAATAAGTTTTAAGCAGAAGAAAGGCTGCCCTCCATGTTTGGGAGATGGCCCAAAAACGGACATTCAGTAAGATCACTGACACAAAACAACTGTTTTACCTGCCTTTATGAAAATGCTGCAAGCAAGCACGCTTGTGGGGAGACAGGGTTTAGAAAGTGATGCTTTCTTCTATGTTCTGACAGCTGCGACCCAGGCGTGTTTGTATTTTCTGTCCAGAAACTCGCTTCCAATCAGGAAACCGAAATAAATCTTATGTCGTTATCTTTTTGCTTCTTGTAATAGTGTGACCTGGCACGGCAGCCCTTCACACAACAGGAGTGTGTCATTTTCTGTAGGTTTATAAGCTCACAACACACAAAGCGTCCAATGCTTCTATTGTTTATACTCTCAGCTATCCCATCATGCACCTGGCTACAGCTCCTGATACACCATCTGAAAAAGACCGAGTTGCTGCTGAATTTTAAAGCGATACCATCTAGATCAGGGGTCTCAAATACGTCGCTCCCGAGCTGCCGGTAACGTGCGATGCACTTGAAAGTCGCTCGCCTGGAAGCAGCCAGTGAGCCATCCTGCCTGACTTGTCATTAACGAGGGACTGATTTTAAACGTGATGGCAAGCCGTCCCCGTGTTCTGCAATATCTAATCTAAAGTGAGTGTTTTGTGGAAGTAAAATAAAAGTCTGATTATTGCATAAATCATTAGACAAACGTGTTCTACCGGAAATACGCAGATTCAGTGATCAGGTTGCAGCACGGATCTCCGTTTCTGAGCGGCCGCAGCCGGATGGAGACACACTTCTAAACAAGACGGAGTGGCGTCGGTCATACAGGAAATATCCTCAGTAAAATATTCTGGGTGACAGTAAAGTGCTATCTGCGGTAACAGCTCATTGACTCTAATTAAATGTTGTTCAGTTATGAACACATAAACACGGGTTCCTAAAATATGGACTTCTGTGATTTAGCTTCAACAAATTTCCCTCAACTGTTTCAGCTGATTGTCTCGTTTAGGAATAAAACACGACTGTGAACGCTCTCTCTTAGCTCTGTGTTGCACATCCGTCAGACCCACGGATCAGCTGATCCAGATCCAGGGAATAACGATAAACCTCCAACTCTATTTTAATACTGTCAGCAATAAAAGCAGCAAGGCATCATTTCACCTGCAGTTATTCACTAGTGAAGCAAATCTTAACCTTCATGAGCAAAAACAAAAAACACTTTAAGACAAAGAAATGTTATTTCTGTTTTTGAAGTTTAAACTATTTTTATTTTTGTGTTTGTCACATTTAGCTTTTATTCATTCGGCCCTCCCACTGTCCTAATGGGTGACCCCGCGAGGAAAGTCGACCATTGAGCAGGGTTGATGGTTTATTCCTTGAGGTCCACGTGGCAGGGGTGAGGTGGTGCTCACTCCTCACCCCTGCCACATGAACCTCAAGGGATAAACCATCAACCCTGCTCAATGGTCGACTTTCCTCGCAGGGTCACCCATTAGGACAGTGGGAGGGTTAAAATATCTTCAGTTTTATTCATTTTATGAGAACGTTTGTTTTGCATTGTTTGGAAAAATGATCATGACACTACAATTACTTGAAAGGTTTTGTATTAAATCACTTTTAAACATTCTTTAAAAGACATTTAATAGTTTTTGTGTAATGACCTTGGATGGAGGACTCGTGAGGACAAACGAACATGGTAAGAAGTTTTTTATTGAACAGTTTGGGTGTTTGTTAGCAAAAATCCAGAAAGGTGTCAGGGGCTTGGTCAGGTGGAAGCGAGGCTCAGAACCAGAGAGAGCAGCGTGGGATAAGACGAGGCAGGCGAGAGGCTTGAAGTCAGAAGACAGGTCCGAGGTCAAAAATCCAGGAAATCCAATAACCAGGCAGGGATCCTGACAGGGGCTAGGCAGAAATCCTGGGGTCAGAACAGGGTCGAGGTCCGAGAGTCAGGTAACAACAGAAGGCTGGAGAATCTACTTGCTGTGGCGTTCAATAATCTGGCAGGGAACTGGTGGCTGGCTGGGGAATATGTAGCTGGTGGGACAGGTGACCAGGATGACATGATTACAGGGTGCAGGTGTGAATTAGGTGGATGAGGGCCCGGCTGAGGAGGACGGCAACCTGGGAGACATGACATTCTGGAAGTTTTGGGAATAATTTGTTCATTAATGTTTGCTCAAAAAATGATGTTACTGGTCCATGCTGAAACAAAGTCAAGTCCTTCACACGAAGTCGACTTTTATTTCTTTATATGAAAGGATCTAAATAAACATATTTTGTTTGGTTTGATTTTCAGAATGTCACAATCTTCCTTCAACTTTTTTTACACTATTGATGTATTGAAATACAGAGAAAACAACTTGTGAATACGATGCATGTATCAATATGAATACATCATGTGACGGTAGCACGGTTCCCAAAAGACCAGAGACCCCAATCTAGGAGTTCCCACCTTAAATATTTTATATCTTTCTGTAACTCTGTCACGACTTCACCTAGGACCCGGGCAAAGTAAAGTAAAAGGTAAAAGATGGACCGGGGGAAAGGAGGTGGAGGAGTCGCCGGATTGTAAAGTAGTAATCTCTTTTTAATAAAGTAAAAGGAGGGGATAGAACCACCTCACAGGTTCATACAAGACACTAAAAGGAACTCGGGAAAACTTCCTGGAATAAAACACAACAAAAATACACAGCTTTCTGGTTTAGCTAGAACCTCAAAAGGTTAACATAATAAGGCTGGTGTTCTTCTTACCAAAGGTTCTCTTAATACTATAAATGTTTGCTAAAGTCTAAACCAAAACAAACTCAAAACCACCAGCTCAATGATCTGGACCATGTCAAACTATAACAAGAACTAACAAACAAAGCCACAACCACCGTTTGGCAAGTGCAGAGGATCTACCTCAGACTAAATGCGCTCTCTATAGTTCTACCAGGCTTAAGTCTCAACAGGAGCGTGGAGCAGGGAAACAACTCATAGGTAGGAGTTGCTCCCCGAACTGCGGATCCCACGACATCTTTATCCACTCGGCACGAATAAGGTAATCAGTCATTATTTCCTGCAGCTGCGCTCTCGGCGCTTTGACCGGAGTTCCTGGATGATGTCACTGCAGCGAGTTCACTGAGGGGGAATCCCTGTCACTGTTGTCATGGAGATGAGATGCTCTTCCTGGCTCTCACCCTCGGACAGTTTTCTTCTTTCTTGCTCCGTTGCTCCACATTGAGTATGTCATATAACAATAAAATGAAATAAACACAAGTACCAACCACATACTCACTTAAAGACCCCACTAATGGGGACGTAACAAACTCACTAATGCCTTACACTCATTTAAAAAGAATTGAAAATCTAGAAATATTTCCTTAATTATCCAATTTCTCTTACATCTGCAGAAACCTAATTAGTTGATGTGTGTGTGACATTAAACACGGTTTAAGTTTTATTAGTGGTTCAAACACACATGCAGCATTTGTTTTTATTCATGTTTCAGTCTGTCTGTTTCCTTTGCGATCATCATGTGAGACTCTGTGTTTTCACCAAAGCCTGATTCAGACCTGCTGCACCAGACAAATCAATAATAATAATCAAATGTTGCTCAGATCTATTCAACCAACTTTATTTACACAAAGCATGTTTAAGTTGTTCACTAAACAACAACATGCGATAGAAAAATGATCCCTTTCACAGAGGCGTGTCAGTTTACGCTATCCATCTATTTTCTGCCACTTATCTGTGAACCGGGTCGTGGGGTCAATGGTTTAGACCTCCCGCTCCCCAGCTGCCTGCTCCTGCTCATTCTGAGGGACTTGGGGGCGTTTCCAGGCCAGCTGTGAGAGATAATATCTCTGGCGAGTCCTGAGTCTGTCCTGAGGAAACGCCTCCCATCAAAGGCATCCTAATCAGCTGTCTGAACCACCTCAGCGGGGTTCTGTTCCTGCGTAGGAGGGTGAGGATGAGTTCTGCAGAGGAAGCTCACTTAGGCTGCTGGTGTTTGTGATCTTGTTTTGTTGGTTATTGCCCAAAGGTCTTCACCAGAGGTCAGGGCCGGAATGTAGATTGGTTCATAAAATGACAATTGACCCAAGATACTTAAACTCCTCCACCTGGAGCATTGACAACAAGGACTTTTTATTACAAGGATGTAGCTGCACGTGCATCCCAGCATGAGCGTGCTCATGCTCGTACTTTTCCTCCACTCAATCACACCTGTGATAAGTCTGCTAGTAAACAGAACCAAAGACAGTCTGGCCTCAATAACCAGGAGTGATTAAATGTGTATTTAATTAAGAAGGTGAGAAGAGAAGCAGGGATATCTCTGTAGGAACGAACTGACTTAAAACAACTAGTGTGCAAACCAAGAAGGACAGTAGTGACATGAGTGAAAGCTTTCACACTAAGCTGTGAACATGCTCTTCTGACTAAAAACAGGAGTTTCAGACGTTCACGTGAACAAAACAACGAAAGGAGAAACCACATACTCCTCAAATAATCTAATCCTCTTTCACATTTTGCCAGTCATTCTCCCGAGAGGCGTTTGATATTTTATTTTTGTTCACGCCTGATTATTTCAGATTTTTTTAATCGATTTGATTCACTAAATCAAATCATCACTGCTGTGCTTGTCATTCTGCTTTTTCTATTTTGAACTGATTTATTGGATCCAGTCAGTCTTTACATAATACATCCACTCTCTCCACTTATATTCCCGTGAATTTACTCTGTCAGTATCTGGTCTAAAGAAGGTCATGGGTCTGCATGCTGACCCTCAGTCTCTCGGGGCGAGGATTACACAGAGGAGTGCGCGTACACCAAACACTAACGCACAATCACGCACAAGCCCGACAGAGTGTGCAGGTGCTTCTGGTTGACGTCGCAGCAGCAGTTGCGTAATCTTTGGAATCAGCTTGGTTTGTTTTTTGGGCGTGGCCTTGTTGTACCCTCTTCTGACTGTTGTTTCACAGACATTTTGTAATTAGATTACTTTCATTTAATCTTGTGTTTTCATCAGAAGAATGACAAATGCACATACTCGTGAGTCAAACTTCAACCTGTCTGTCTTGTGTTTTCACTCATTAATCAGCAAGCCTGATTTATGAGTGTCGACAGTTTGTTTTAGTTACTATGGTAACAAATTTAATTCACCATGTCAGCAAATGTTACATCAGATATTCCACGAAACTGTACTGTTGTAACATTATTCAACAAAGAAACTCAGTGACACCAGATGTTTTTCTGACGGAACTTGAATGTGTTGTGAAAAACGGATTTGGCCTCACAGATTTTCTCTGTTTTTGCTTGAACAACAAATAAATTTCAATATCAAACAAAGATATGAGTAAAAAGAAAATTCAGTTATTTAACAACCGTCATTTATCTTGGGGTGAATTTAAACTCATGACATGGACAACTGAATTTACGTGTGTGTGTGTGTGTGTGTGTGTGTGTGTGTGTGTGTGTGTGTGTGTGTGTGTGTGTGTGTGTGTGTGTGTGTGTGTGTGTGTGTGTGTGTGTTACAGATTCAAGTCGAGGTTGTGTGGCTAAGCTGTCGTTCTCCTGCCCGTTGAAGGGTTACTACTGCCTGTACGCCAAGTCCTACTTCAACCTGACAAGTCACCAGCCTCACCTGTGGATTCGCATCATGCTGTTGCATTTACAGGTGCACTCGGACATCCAGCTGTAAAACACAAAAACACATCTGTGCAAACACTGGACAAAGTGCTGCAGCACCACATGTTGCAGTGGGGGCGAGTGACCAGGATGGATCATTGGTAGAAACATTTTTAGAATTAAGGGGAAATAGTTTGCAGAAACATAGTTGAGCCATTTATTTTAGAGGGATATTCCACTCCTATGTAAAGTTTTGTTTGTTACCATATTCCCCAGAGTTACATAAGTTGGAAAAAGCATTTTGTATGCAGCCCAGTCATTCTCCTGATCTGGCAGTATTCTGTTAGCGTTAGCTTAGCATAAACAACGTAAGTGAATAGGAACAGCTAGCATTGTATGTGAAAAAGTCATGAACATTACTCAATATTGATCCTATGTTTTCTTGGTAACCTCAATGATTATATCAGCTGCAAATAAAAATAAAAAGTTGCACAAAGGAATCACATTAGCTGATTTAGACTTGGAATTACGTTGTGACAAAGCATCGCTGTAAGCTGCGGCTGCAAGGTGTAAGGATAATGTAGTCCCATCTCCTGTAATTCTGCCATATTACTGATTGTTTTCATTTGCATCCTGTAATTATTGAGGTCATCTAAAAACATTAGGATCATTATTGACTATTGAGACTTTTTCACACACATGCTAGCTGTTACCATTCACTTACGTTGTTTATGCTAAGCTAAACTAATGGAATACTACAAAATCAGAAGAATTACTGGGCTAGTTATAAAATACTTTTTCCCACTTATCTAACTCTGGGGATTATGGCAGCAGACTAAATTACACTTAGAGGTAGAATATCCATTTGGGTTGAACACATTTGAATTTTACTTTCTATGCAAAGTCTGCTCTGAATCTTTTTTCTTCATTACGAGCTCTGATTTCTAGAACTAAAAATCTGTTCAAATTTAAGGGAAAACCCAGCCAGGCATTTACTGATGAGTTGTTCCACAACATGCTGCCAGAGCAGCTTCAGCCTGTGGACCTCTGCTGGGGGGAGTCCAGGATCTCTTCCAGGCAAATTACCTCATTTGGTGTTTTGATGACAATAGAAGGGAGTGTCCTCTCTAAAGCAGCGATGGTGCTTGACTCGCGGATGTGCCTGAATGCTGAAGATCAAATTTTACGATGCAATTTTATTGTGGGTTTAATTATATTTGGTAGGTCAGTTCTCTCCGTTTACCTCCTTCCATCAGATGAGCTAAATAGTTTATTTTCTATTCTGCTTTTGCCATCTGGGAATGACTTTCCTCCACACCGAAGTGATAGGAAGATGCTTAAAGAGGGAACATTTTAAGATTGTTAATTTTTCCTGAGCAGACAGGCCGCCTGAACGGTGCCACGGTGCAGTTAGCACCCTGAATGTGACATTAACACACCACATGATAAAAGACTTCATTCATTTGTATCTTTGTTGTCCAGATGTTTTCTTGCCCACATATTTTCTGTCTTACGTCCAGCTTTGTGTTTTAATTTAACCAGAGTAAGTCCAGTGTCCCTCTGTGCTCCAGAGACAAGTCTGTCCAGAGACTGGCGTCTCTTTGGGAGAAGACGCAGCTTAAAGGCTCTCACAGCTTCTCCATGGCGATGACCCAACACACCACCCCGCAAAGGAAGGTAACCAGGCTGCAGCGTGAGTGTGTATGTGTGTGTTCATACTGTTTGCAGAGGGGATGACATCATCACTTACATGAAGAAAGAAATAAAAGATAGGAGCTGACGTTTGCTTAATGGATATTTCTTTAAACAAACATTCTTTTCACTTTGTCTTTTTAATATTTGTGTGTGTGTGTGTGTGTGTGTGTGTGTGCGCGCGCGCAGGTGGTGATTTTCGTGCTTACATTGGGACAAACTGAGAATTCATTAGAAGATAATTAAACCCACTGAGAAAATACATCTGCCCAGTGTTTTACCCTGAGTGTACAGCTATGGTTACCACATGGAGCCCACATTTACCCATATGTGTTCACACACACACACACACACACACACACACACACACACACACACACACACACACACACACACACACACACACACACACACACACACTCACAGAGCGTTTGACTTATGTGACTTGCTACATTGTCAAATACAATGTGTTGTGAGTTCAAACTAGCAGGCCTTTTCTAACGACACTACTCAGACTAAAACAGGGTTAACCGCAGAGCATCAGTGGTGCAGAAAGGCAGCGCAACGGTTTACTCGCGACAATCACTGCACTCAAGTGCACACCGGGAGAGTCTCAGCAGTGAAGCGGATTCTCTGCCGCTCGATTCGCGAGATCACAAGATCCCTTGAGACTTCAAAGGTTACGGGTTGTTCATGCAGTCCGCCATTAAATCAAAAAGAAGGAAATCTCGTTTTTGCTGTTCGAAGTCATATATGATGTTATCCCTCCCCACTGCCAGAATTAAAGCCATGAAATCACATCGCTGCACTTCTGGAATGATGCTGTGAGTAAATAAGCCATTGGGTCACACGTAAGCTTCATATAGCGTAAATCCTCTAATACAGGCCCAGGCCTGTATTTTACTCTAGCGCATCAAGCTCCAGGCCTTTATTGGAAGGAGGGCCAGAATTAGAGGCAGGCCTCAATTTCTATTTGAGTGGTTGGTTCGCTGGAGTTTTTGACGATTAAAATTGCGCCCACATTATCCAAGTTAAACACATTTCTTTTAACAACGGTAGTTTCTGCTTCAGCCCTCTCCCCCCTCCCCCTGCACAGCGGCCGCAAACTCACTGATGCGCCTGCAGCCTGTCAGAGTTCCTGTTGCTCTAAACATTAAAATAACTATTTCATTTTCTGTTCCTCACTTCTGATTACCTTCAATGGTGTCTGTTTGTTGCTACCAGGTACAAAAACTAACTTGTTTTTATTTGACTATTTTTCTGTCCTGTCTGTTTATTATCTTCCTGCATCTCCTCTCAATCCTAAAGAAAAACTGCTACCTGGGTTCATATATATTCACCTTATGAGTTACCTTTGAACTGCAGTTCTAAAAGATCTACCGACCGCAAAAACAGCACAGTGTGCGCTGCTCGCCGGCCGCACCGGTGAGGTGCGTCACCGGAGGACAAGGTGAAGCGCCCCGCTCCACAGCAGCAAAAAGCATCAGGCACAAATAAAAGACAGAAAACATTAAAGGAAATGAGCCTACATGAACGATCGCGTGTTAAATTAGTTTTTGAGGTGGCGACACCTGATTTGATAATGTTACTGTGGCTGCGCTCAGGACGCAGATGTCTGGAGCGCATCAACAATCAGAGCTTTGCATGCGCAAGCTGGTTAAGGTTAGGATGGGGGTGAGGGGAAGGTTAAATTGCAAGAGGGTAAAGGTCACAATTTGGTTAAATGTCCGTTTTACGGCGGGTGTCAGTACCGACGCTCTGGCACAGCGCGTTGCCTTCCGACGTGCAGGAGCTTGTCACCTGCTGACAGCAGGCTGCTGTCTTTTCCGAGGACTGCATCTTGCCGGTCATTATCACGGGACAGCGACTAGTCGATGACAGGCAAAACAAGTCACTATAGAGCGGTGAAGTCGATTAGTGACTAGTTCATACAACCCCTACTGCTCCCCAGAGTGTTCTGCAGCATAATCAGCACGTTCTCTTTGAATTTTATATCATATTTTTGCCTCCTCTTCGTCTCCACACCTGCCAAATCGCGGTCTATCACTGGCAAATCAAAAGTGAGACGATGACACAACCGTCCCCCGTGGTACTTGCTTGTTACCACATTCCACCTGGCCACAATAAAAAACCAGCTATTTTTCACTTCTGCCGACTCCGACACCGGCCAAAATGTGATACCCGGCCGTTAATTGAATACAGGCCAATATTAGAGGATTTACGGTATATAAAAGTGCATCGCTGCAGTACTTTTACTTAGAAAATTACCAGTGATTTTACACTGAAGCCGTGTGTGGTTTCCTGTCTAGCCCTATGTTAACTGCGGCAATTGACGCATCCCAGAAGCGGCTTGTGGAAAAAATAGAACCCGGTCCTATCTTTAGCTGTGCGACGTGCCGCTTCTGGGACACGTCTGAAAATTGCCACATCGCTGCTGGTTTATGACACTCCATAGACTATGATGGATTCTATTTGAAGCGGTGCCATTCCGCGCCGCTGGTGCTTCCTGTGTGCAGTAAGGGTAACTCAGCTCACCTCGGTGTATTTGGGTTTCCCTGCCAGCTCTGTGACAAAAATGTGTTTGCTCTTCACAGCATGCTGGGGGGGGGATGTCACGGATGTAGTTTCCATTTTAGAGTGGAGGGGTCTTTACAGTAAGCATACAAAAGTATGTATAAAACTACAGCCCAGGGGCTCTTTTATGCAATATCAGGAATACAGAACTGTCAAGTACACATGTGGCTGAAACAGCCAATCACAAATTAGCAAGTATCAGCACAGCCAATAGATGAGCTTATGGACGGTTCTAATGGGAAACAGGCTTCAACACACACTGTTGTTTTCCTCTTAGTCATAGTGCTCAACCAGTGTCTATTTAATATAGCGTAGTATTGTTTTTGGACGATAAAAGTAGGGATGTCCCGTTCCGATATCAATATCGGAAGTAATTCGATATCAGCCCAAAAGCACTGTATCGAATTATATCAGACGGCATCAAAGTCTCTGTTATAAGCGGTCCATTAAAGGTTAACATTTTTGCAACCAATGGTCTTTTTTTTTTTCATACTTACTGTTATTGGCTCTTGTTCTCCGATTGAGTAATATCACTTGATCAAGTCTTTCATACATTCCACACTATGAAATAGGTAAAAGTATGTATGATTTATGCTGATATCGTATCAGATTGATGTCGGTATTGGTTAATACTAAAGGCTGCAATATTGGTATTGTATCGGAAGTGAAAAAGTTGTATTGGGACATCCTTAGTAAAAAGTGCAGGGGACATAAATTGACTTTGGAAAAAGTGGGGGGGTTAGAGTTAGTGGAATCTTTATGAAAAAAGGGCATGGAGTAATCTGTAAACAGTGTGAGGTGACCTGTTTGCAACATAGAAGCACAACAGAGCGCAAACATGGTGTTGTTGAACATTCTGCTCAGTTTTATGGCTTTTTGTCAGTCTCTAAACCAGGACATGACTGCAGGCAGTGAGGCAGCATCCAGAAAGCACCAGAGCAAGCAATGACTCTACCCTGTAGCCAATTAGCGGCTAACAGTCGCAATGCCGGCCCGAGTCAGAGCTCTAGGAACCACAATAAAACAAGGACTGAAAAGCAGAGGGAAAGTAGGTACCTTTGGATCAAAATGACACGCCGCTTGTACTCATGATTTCAAGCTTTAATTACACTTGAACAGATAAGTCCTATAAACTTTCACCCGCTCAGAGTTGTCATGGCGTTAAACTTGACCTATAAAACCTGAAATGTATTTTGTACCAGGCTGTAAACATGTGTATTTCTGCTCTCAAGTTGGCATTTTAACATGGGAGTCAATGGGAATTTCCTCATTTCTGGATCCAGCCCTTGTGGATGAGGGGACAACTGCAGTTTGTGTTACTTCCAATATAACAGGAGAGAGGGAGAAAGGTCACGACCTCTATCTATAAGCACCACATTTCCTCTCTCCTCTCTGCTTTCCAGTCAGACCCACTGGACCTTTCCTGTCTCTGTGAGCCAATCAGAAACACGTGTAGGACACTTCTACAGAGACGGAAAGAGTCCTAAATGTAGTCGGTAGCAGCAGGGAGACTTTTAGAGGGAGGCCACTGGGCTTTATGAGGATTCTGATTTAGGACGGACTTCACATTTACATCCCGACAACTCACTTCAGCCCGTTTATAGCTCTGAGAAAACAGAGGGAAGAAACGAGGACGATGGAGGGGGAAAGGAAAACAAATGTATATTATAAGGGGTGGACGTGATGCTAAAAACAACATGTAGATGAATAAACGTTGAAACTTAAAGTATGTGAGTGAGGAAGAATTTTAAAAAAAGGACAAAATCAAGTAAAAAGGAAATGTTTCTTAAGTTTGTGTGTAGCAGATATTGGATGTAGAAATGAAAGAGTGTAAATTATTTCAGCAGGTAAGAATAAAAAAGGCCTAAAGTGTTTCTTAAAAAGCTAGAGCAAAAGGGGAGTGTGTGTGTGTGTGTGTGTGTGTGTGTGTGTGTGCGTGCGTGCGTGCGTGTGTGTGTGCGCGCGCGTGTGTGTGTGTGTGTGTGTGTGTGTGTGTGGTGGGGGACAAATGTGGACTCTAAATGGATTTGCACCTGATTTTTCTGCATCTTATATATTAAAAAGGAATTAGAAAATAAAACCAAAACATATATTAAAGTAAAATTCATCTAAAACATCTAACTAGACTTGAATTGTTACTCTATGAATTAATAATTAAAAACTGAAATCAGTATTTTATTTAATCTTCATTCATCCAGATAGAGAATCCATTGAGATTAGAAAACATCTTTTACAAGGATGTCCTGAGTACGGAGGAGAAAACAGTTAGAATAAATAAAACAGGTTGTTTTCTTCCTCTGCAGGTTGAATCCATCTTTCTGTCCACAACAAGAATGTGTTGTGTTACTCTGATGTGGTTCTGCTTTAACGTTCTCTTGTACCCTAAATCAGTAACATTTCACTCGTCTTTCCTACTGACACGAATCAGTCCTGAGAGTTTTCTGCTTATTTAGACTTTTTAAACACTCAATACCATTTTTGCTCAATTTTTGTTTCCGTCTGCGTTTTATTAGCTGTTAAAAAATAAAGACGTTGGTTCTTAACTCTAAGCATGGCTTACACAGGAATGTAGATCTCACATTATCATCTATTCAGCAAAGTCTCTGGTTTCACACACCAAATATCATGTCTGGAAATATGAATTTGATTAAATAACTTGATAACAAATGATGAGAGCTGATAATAGTTTAATTATCTGAAATTCATTTTTTTTTATTATCAAATCAGTTCCATTTGGTCCCAATGTTGAATATTTGTTCATTTGTTTTTAGCAAAGTAGCAAAAACTGTTTAATGGAAAGAGAATAAACATTTATGCAACTTTAAAATGGGGATTGGTGGAATAGTCATATTGGCATGGTTTTTATCACTGTTTGAATCCTCCTTCATATCGTAACGTGATGGAGGTGCAATTCCACCGAAGGTTGTTTACCCTCTCTCCACAGATGCCTCTGACACAGAACTAATCTGCATGAGACTGCCTCAAGGTCATGCATTTGCTTCTAAACTGCTTCCTTCTGCTTAAATCTTCTGGTTAAAATAACCCAACGGTCCGTAAGATTGATTTCATATTTACTATGGAATCTTATGTCTTACGGTTCCTTAATTAGATGTAAATTAATTCCTTACAATATTCATTAATATGGATTCATACATTAGCCATGCCCGATGTAGTTTGGCAATTAACTCTTTTTACTACAGTTCTGTTTAAAAAGGGGTTTGTTTTCATCAGCCCATCTCACTTTGACCTTGTTTTTGTCATTTCCACATCTCAAAGCACATCTCACAAACTGCTGATAAGCCAAACAGCGATCAGCCAATCAGAGTCAAGGTTGCTTCATAGAGCCGCTTATCTCCACCTCACTGTGTTGGCACTGGAGGATGCGGTGCCACAAACACTAAGTCTTATCATACCCTCCTCCTCTTCACTAACATTTATATTTTCTGGAGCTTTTCACACTCCCTCTGTGTGGATTTCTCTGTTTTTAAGAGTGAAGACGGCTTGTCAGATAACCCACAACCCGCTGCAGACACGCATAGCTTCGGTTTATCTCTGCAAGCAAAGTCTGAGTTAGGCTGATGAATGAAGGTTTAATCCTGCTGCTCCTAAAATGGGCACAGCTGAGCATAAACTTTTGTTTGTATGAAATGTGAAAATCTATTTGTCGTTTGTGTCCTGAGGACCTGGACAGCCTTCAGGTGCAGCTGGAGGAGGTGCGTTTCTTTGACCTCTTTGGATTCAGTGAGGAAGAGGGAAGATGGCTGTGCTTCATGTGCAACAACCCTGAGAAGGCCACAGGTACACACACACACACACACACACACACACACACACACACACACACACACACACACACAGGACGTTTTCACTAAAAACCCTATTGAGAGATGCAATCTGTTTCCCAGAGGAGGTATGAAAACCTGAGCAAAGAGCCACTGCTGCCCGGTGGATCTGAGTTTTTAAAAGGTCAAACGTGCAGTTGTTGTTGTCATGACTCCTGAGAGTTTTCTACTTTTTACAGGGACGGTATTTTGTCTGCTGCAGGGACAAACGGGGGTTGACACATGAGAGTGAGCTGAGGAAAACAGATCCACTGCAGGAACGTTATGCATTGATCCCCCAAAATAAAATCTAAAGCAGATTAATAAACAAACTACATTTTTGATTTTAAAGAACAACTTTTGAGCTTATTTTGTTTTATATAGTTGATCCAAACTGCAAGGAACTATGAAGTGAGCTAGCATTAGCCTCACTGCTACATTATGTCAGATTTGAATGGACACAAGGGAGAGAAACGTATTGACCCAAAATGTCCTGAAAGTCAAGTCTTTGAAGGTAAATAAATCAAATATCGTGTAGTTTAGCTTCCTAAGCTAGCATGCCCATTTGTTATAAGTTTTGCTTCAGGGAAATCTCCAAAATGGTAAAAGTTTATTTAAATCTGTGAGAAGTCGTAAGTTATATAAGAATAATGTGTTTCTGTCATGCTGTGGGGGAAAATCCAGGAGGGAGAGTTGGACAGGAGGATGGAGTGTGCAAGACTGGCTTCTGAGTGTTTTTAATGAGCAGCTTTAAACCTGCATACCAAACATGGGCTCTGATGTCTGATGGCTGCTAATAAGAAGGCAGGACGTTAAAGACGAAAAGGCAGATGGGAAGTGGTTAAATATGACCTCCAGTGAAAGTTTGCAATCATTTCATCGTGTCCACGTGGTGCTTTTTCTTTGCTGTTTCAGAAACGCAGAGTGTGTGTTGCCTGACAAACACGCAGTCATGTCCAATTCCACACTCTGTCCTGTCTCCCCATTCTGTTCAGTCCTGTGTCCTTGCTGCTCCCACCTGCCTCCCGTCTTCCAATCACTCCAGGTCTCAGCTCCTCCTGTATTTAAACCCTCTGTGTGTCTTGTCGGTTCATTGTTTCGTTGTCCTGCATGTTCTATATTAAAATCCTCATTGAATGGTCCTGTCTGTCTGCCTGCTTCTTCACCCACATTTGGATCCTCACCTCCGCTCACCACACCCGCACATTCATGACAGAATGAAATGACCACCTGAAGGATCCAGCGGGGCAGCTCTCCCCTGGCAGCACCTGCTCACCTCAAGCTGTCAGCCAGTCTCCTCTCCTCCTCCACCATCTCACCGGAGATGCCGCCGTCGGACCTCGACCTCGGCAATCCCCTCCACCCTCCCGGAGCCAGATGGCAGGTTAGGCTGGGAGCCGCAGCTGGACCGCTCCGGTTTTCTGGGCCCCAGACTGGCGGTGTGCTCCCCTGGAGTTGGTCCCCGGCGCTAGGAGGGAACCCAGGCCCCGCCGTCATCTTCAGCCCAAGAGCTGCACTACGGGCGCGCTGTGGTTCCGGCTGATGTCACCCCCGGCTGCACATTCTCCTCCCACTCCAGGGGGGGCAATGAGAGGGACCAAACCGGCGGTCGACCCGGCGGAGTTTGCTCTTCTCCAGGCTGAGCTGGTCAGTCTGAAGAACCTCATCAGCCTCCTGGAGTTCCGGCTGGACGCTCTGTCCTCCCTACTCCAGGAGGCGGTACTCCGGTCAGCGCCTCCACTCTGGTCCCACCTCCATTCCCGTCAGCGGCACCGCCAACAGTCCAGCCAGCATCACTGCCTACAGCGGCACCGCCCCCGGCGGTTCAGCCTGTCCAAGAGGCTCCGCCCCCTCTGGCACTTCAGCCTGTCCACGAGGCTCCGCCCCCTCTGGCGCTTCAGCCTGTCCAAGAGGCTCCACCCCCTCTGGCACTTCAAGTTGAGTCAGCGCCACGTCCGAGACCTCCGGCCAAGTCGGCACCTCCTGTCAGATGTCGGTCTCGCCTCCGGTGCTCCAGACGCAGGCCCCCTAGACACCATCTTTGCCTGAGTTAGGCATCCAGTGCCACCCTTTTTTTTTGGGGGGGGGGGGGGGGGGTACTGTCACACTCTGTTCTGACCCCCATTCTGTTCAGTCCTGTGTCCTTGTTAATTGCTCCCACCTGCCTCTTGTCTTCCAATCACTCCAGGTCCCAGTTCCTCCTGTATTTAAATACCCTCAGTTCTGTGTGTCTTGTTGGTTCATTGTTTCATTGTACTGCGTGTTTCTACAGGGCCTTCTCAAAAAATGTGCACATTGTAATAAAGTTCATTATTGTCTGTAATGTACTGATAAACATTAGACTTTCATATATATTAGATTCATTGCACACAACTGAATTAGTTCAAGCCTTTTATTGTTTCTAATATTGATGATTTTGGCATACAGCTCATGAAAACCCAAAATTCCTATCTCAAAACATTCGCATATTTCATCCGACCAATAAAAGAAAAGTCTTTTTAATACAAAAAAAGCCAACCTTCAAATAATTGTATTTGATATGGCGCCTTCTAGAGTCTAGAGTTCTGTCAGTCTTCAACCCCTCCAGATCCAATAATGGCATTATCAAACTATTTCAATCCGTGCTGATCCGTCAACTCTCCCCTTGATCAAATCAACCTTCTGTGCCAGAGCCTGAATCTCAGCCAAAGTTCCAAGCTTACGACTCATCTCGACAGTTATCTCAGTCTGTGGTTTTACAGCACAGTGCATTCCATCCCAGAGCTCCGGGATTAAGCCAATATTCCTCGAAAGCTCGTTAATTTTCCGTTATCCCAGGCAACCGCTCAGGCCAAACAGCAGAAATCCTGACACCAACACAACGGATATCCAGACATCTTAAGAATCCTCTACTGACAGTTGAGACAGGCAGATCAAGTTCCTCTGTTTCCAGGAGTCCATGATATACCCAGCTGTCTCTGTTCCAGAGGGGCATCCGGGAGCCCCTTCTCCCGATCTCATCTTTGAAAGACCAACTGGCCAGATCCATGTTTAATAATTTCCAGTTTCCAGAAAAAATGCAAAGAAGCATAGTGCACAGGCAGAGAGGACAAAAAGAGCCTTGGAAAGAGCAGGGAGGGAGAGGAGAAAAAAGCATCTGTACTCTCCAAGAGCCAGAAGAATGAGACATGGCACCCCAGACCATCACTGACTGTGGGTACTTGACACTGGACTTCAGGCATTTTGGCATTTCCCTCTGCCCAGTCTTCCTCCAGACTCTGGCACCTTGATTTCCCAATGACATGCAAAATTTGCTTTCATCCGAAAAAAGTACTTTGGACCACTGAGCAACAGTCCAGTTGTGCTTCTCTGTAGCCCAGGTCAGGCGCTTCTGCCGCTGTTTCTGGTTCAAAAGTGGCTTGACCTGGGGAATGTGGCACCTGTAGCCCATTTCCTGCACACGCCTGTACACGGTGGCTCTGGATGTTTCTACTCCAGACTCAGTCCACTGCTTCTGCAGGTCCCCCAAGTTCTGGAATCGGTCCTTCTCCACAATCCTCCTCAGGGTCCGGTCACCTCTTCTCGTTGTGCAGCATTTTCTGCCACACTTTTTCCTTCCCACAGACTTCCCACTGAGGTGCCTTGATACAGCACTCTGGGAACAGCCTATTTGTTCAGAAATTTCTTTCTGTGGCTCTTGCTTGAGGGTGTCAGTGATGGCCTTCTGGACAGCAGTCAGGTCGGCAGTCTTACCCATGATTGTGGTTTTGAGTAATGAACCAGGCCGGGAGTTTTTGAAAGCCTCAGGAATCTTTTGCAGGTGTTTAGAGTTAATTAGTTGATTCAGATGATTGGGTTAATAGCTCGTTTAGAGAACCTTTTCATGATATGCTAATTTTTTGAGATGGGAATTTTGGTTTTCATGAGCTGTATGCCAAAATCATCAATATTAGAAACAATAAAAGGCTTTAACTACTTCAGTTGTGTGTAATTAATCTAATATATGAAAGTCTAATGTTTATCAGTACATTACAGAAAATAATGAAATTTATCACAATATGCAAATTTTTTAGAAGAACCTGTACATTAAAATCCTCATTGAATGTTCCTGTCTGCCTTCTTCTTCACCCGCATTTGGATCCTCACCTCCGCTCACCACACCCGCCTGTACACGGGTTCATGACATCCAAGTCTTCTGTGGGTTAATGGTATTAGTTGATGCTAAGAGGGCAGATCTGCTAAGAGTTGGGGACATTTTGACCCAGTTTGGTCTAAGCTTCAGCTGCATCCCCACTTTGTACAGAAAAGAGGATCGACTCATGAACCGCAGGGTGCTAGAGTGGTTGGATGGTTACAAAACAAATACAACTCCACAAGCTTAAGGTGCTGCCATGTTCTTGTGGACTTGTTTTGACTGAACTTAAACCTTTGACCTGCTAAGTAAGCCCAGTAGAGTGTGAGATGTTTGGTTGAGTTTTACTGGGAAAGGTGGTGACTGTGTTACAGAAGTCTTTTGGCTTGGTATGATGCTTAAACAGTAATTCCCATAGTTGGGGTCGTGTGTGTGTGAGTGAGTGAGTGAGTGAGTGAGTGAGTGAGTGAGTGTGTGTGTGTGTGTGTGTGTGTGTGTGTGTGTGTGTGTGTGTGTGTGTGTGTGTAATCTTATTGGTTTATGTGGGCATTTAAGAACTAACAGACCGTTTGTAATTTAATACCTGTTAAGTATGACTGAAATTTCTAAGGCCGTTTTCCTCTTCTCTGTTTGTTCCTGTAGTTGTGAACCAAGAAGGTCAACCTCTAATCGAAGGGAAGTTGAAAGAGAAGCAGGTTCGCTGGAAGTTTATAAAACGCTGGAAAACACGTTACTTCACGTTGGCGGGAAACCAGTTGCTTTTCCGCAGGGGCAAATCAGTACGTAGGCACTGGTGCACATACACACAAACACACATGAGCTTTTCCTGGACCATCTGTTTATTTTGCATGAGGTGAATCCATCCATTCCATCCATTATCGTCCAATCATCCAGGTTTGGGCAGCAGCCTAAGCAGAAAGCCCAGATTTTCTTCTTCCCAGCCAATTGGGTCAGCTCCTCCGGAGAAATCCCAAGACATTCCCTGGGCAGCTGATAAGCATAGTCCCTCCTGTGTGTCCTGGGTCGTCCTGGACGTGCCCGAAAAATCTCACTAGGGAGGCGTCTTGGAGGCATCCTATCTAGATGCTCAAGCCACCTCAACTGGCTCCTCTTTATGTGGAGAAGCAGCGGATCTACTCTGAGCCCCTCCCGGATGTACGAGCTTCTTACCCTATCTCTAAGGGAGAGCCCAGACACCCTGCAGAGAAAACTCATTTTGGCCTCTTGTATTCATAATGTCGTTCTTTCGTTCACTACCCAAAACTTGTCACCAATAGATGAGGGTAGGAATGTAGATCGACCGGTAAATCGAGAGCTTTGCCTTCTGGCTCAGCTCTCTCTTCACCATGACAGATCGGTAAAGTGCCCACATCACCGCAGACGCATCTCCAATCCGCCTGTCGATCTCATGCTCTATCACTCCCTCACCCATGAACAAAACCCTGAGATACTTAAACTCCTCCACTTGGGGCAGGACCTCATCCCTGATCCGGAGAAAGCATTCTACTCTTTTCTGACTCAAGACCATGGTTTCCGATTTAAGTAAGTTAATTCTCATCTTAGCCACTTCACACTCTGGCCTCGAACCGCTCAAGCGAAAGCTGGAGATCACGTTCTGATGAAGCCAACAGGAGCACATCATCTGCAAAAAGCAGAGACTCGATCCTTAGGCCACCAAAGTGGAGCCCCTCAACACCTTGGCTGTGCCTAAAAATCCTGCCCATAAAAGTTATGAACAGAATCGGTGACAAAGGGCAGCCTTGGCAGAGTCCAACTATCAAATGAGTTTGACTTACTGTCAGAGATGTGGACTCGAGTCACATGACTTGGACTCGAGTCTGACTCTAGTCATTTTTTTAATGACTTCTGACTTGACAAAATCTATAAAGACTTACGACTTGACTCGGACATGAACGCCAATGACTTGCGACTTGAATCGACTTGCATCTGTTGACTTGATGATGACTTGAGCATATTTGATATTTTAGCACAAAAGTGGCCCAACATGGACAAAAATCATAACTCATTCTTCGTTCTGGGTGTGATGTTGTTCTGCTAAATGCAGCAGCACTTTGTTTATAATCAGTTTCAGTTGCACTTTCTGCTTGTTTGAGCAAATAGGGTTTTATTTATGATCATTGTCATTAAATTGATGTTTGACAGATGACTTAATTATGACTTGAAAATTCAAAGTTAAGGACTTGGACTTCCACATCATTGACTTTGGACTTGACTCGAGACTTGACTGGAGCCGAGTTCTGATTCCTTTCTCCTCTCTAAACAACCGTCCCTGTGCTGCGCTCCAGATGGAGGTGGATTCTGTTTTGCAGCAGCCTCAGACTGAGAAGACTGTTCTTTTGTTCTCTCAGCTTACTGTGTCCTTGCCATTATGTTCTGGAGGTGGTCGAAAACTTGTGAAATAACTTTTTTTTTCTATGTGGAAAATATAATTATTTACAAACAACCAAAATCATTTTTTCTTCATGCTGCACGCTTAAACAACTTTGACGTTCTAGCGGGTTTGAAATATTCCTTTTTCTTAAAACAGACCATGAAAATTTCAGATTAGCTTAAGTGTTCCCAGAGAGCACTGGATTCAAACACACCTCACCCAACTCTGCAAGATGAGGATGTTGTTGCTGTTGTGGAGCTCAAATGATGCTCATAGACCCAGTGATGCAAACATTCATAAAACATTACTCAAGACCAGTGATTTAAGTCTTAATAAGCTATTTAGGACATTTAGATAAGTATTTATTTATGATTAAATTAACATTCATTCAATTTCGGGATAAATAAAATCATGCTGGATGCCTATGCTTTTAAGGAAAGGTCCATAGATGTTTTAAAAAAATATGCTCAAAAAAGCCTTTTCAGTGGTTAACGCAGCTTTATGTTTTCTGCATTTGTCTTCTTCACAGAAAGATGAGATGGATGATATTCCTATTGAGCTGAGCAAGGTGCAAAGTGTCAAGGTGACCCTTTTTTTCCCTTTAGCTAACCACCATCTTTAAGAAATTTCTTTCCACAGATTACGATTTTAGATTTGTATTTATTGCCGTGTTCTGATGGCAGATCAGAGCTAGAAAGAGACTACACTAACCCGTCCTCCTGCTTCTCATTGTCCGTAGGTGGTAGCTAAGAAGCGCAGGGATCGGGGGCTGCCTCGGGCCTTTGAGATCTTTACCGACAGCAAGTCATACGTGCTGAAGGCCGAGGACGAGAAGCACGCTGAGGAGTGGCTGCAGTGCATCAACGTGGCCGTGGCTCAGGCCAGAGAGAGGGAGAACAAAGAGGCGACGACCTACCTGTGAGCCGAACTCAGACCCGACTACCCACAGAGCTCTTCAGTCACATCATAATTTCATATCGTGCAGTATTTGTTATTAAAACTTGAAACCAGCATTAAGGCTCATGATGCACCCTAAAAAAAGCATAAATAAAGGTTACAGAGGTAAGGTGTTACAGATTTAAGCTACATCAGTCTCGACTGCACCAAACAAAACCAGCTGCAGTTGGAAACCCGCGCGTTTCTACATGAAACAATGACTGAGACGTTTTAGAGTCACTATAAATATTTATTAGATGCACAGGCCTCATTTGGACCTGGACTATAATGAGACTGAGCTTTTGGAAGCTGGAAGGATGAAGAGTAGCCTAATGGACCACAGATGGGAAAGGTCTTTGATGCTGAAAGTTTGTTGAGGGAGTTAAGGAGGAGAAATGCCTAAAGGTTGTAGCTTTCTTCACCTTCTTGCCAAAATATGTGAATGAAGACATGAAAAAAGGAAAGTTTGTTTAGCTATAGCTCACTTATGGTGGGTTCCATTTGGCACTTGAAAGTTTACTATTTTCATTTGAAAAAAGTCCAATTGGAAGTCAGAATTTTCACTTCTTGTTATAAATCCAACATGGCTGCCTAGTTGTAGCTGTGTCAAATGGGGAGCCATCTGTAGAAATCCACCCCATGTTTTCATGAAACTAGTGTCAGATGTTGACAAATAGTGGAAACTTGGGGTAAAGTGGTTTCCTTGTGGGTTCCAGACTCTGCCCGTTTAGTGTTTTTCATGTAAAACATTCAAATGAATTTCTTTTAAATCATGTTCGAACAAGTTTTTTCTAAAGTTAAACACCCTTTGATGTGCCCAAACCGTGAGACTGGATCAAACAGGAGACGTGCAGAACTGTAGTTTAGAAGGTAATCAAAAATTAAACTTTCAGCAGTTTACCACTAAATGTTTCATTTCATTTAATTAAAGATCACAACTCTTACAAGGATAAACTAACTTTTAGGTCAAATGAAAACACAATTCCAACAATCTGATTTTATTATACATCTAAACTTACAGTATTTTCATTTTAGATAGGCAGAACTAAAACAGGTCCAGGGTCAGCCAAAGGGCAGAGGGATGCAAAGCGTTTAGGTAGAAAGTTGAATCTTGAGTCTTTTTTTTTTACCAAATGTGTTGATTTTTTTGCTTTAAGTGAAACCATCTCCTTATCCCCTTACCCTTACGTGGCAGCTTTGAGCTCTCAAAACACTCAAGCAGACATTTATTCCCATCCTGTGTAAAATAATATACGAGTTGTATGTTTTTGTTTTAAACAGAGCAGAAGTATAATTGGGATGATAAAGTTACCTAAACTCTGTAAATATGATGTTTTAAATCCTGTACACATTTGATTCTGTGATTTTTGAAATGAGTTGTTATCCTATTGATGGCCAGTTTTCTAGGTTCATGGTTTTCAATGGAAAACACAACTTTGCATTTTTTACATATAGAATTAATTTCCTATCTTTGTAAGACGTTTGGACACTGGCCTCTGGTACAAAGCAGACATAATGTTCGAAACTACTGTAGTTTTCACTGTGAAGATAATTGACGTCAGTGATGAAAGATCTGAATGTCTAAAATCACATCAGTCAGCCTTTTGACTCAAAGGTGATTTGTTGCTTGATTACTTTTGATTTTTATGTAGGCTATTATTTATTTAACTAACTGTTTCTATAAATCTTCAGTTGTGCCTGCAAAGACTGCAGAAACAATGGATGAAGGCTTTTATGTTTTAACTTATTTCCTGATTTTATATGTACAGGTCATAAAATTGGAATATCATGACAACATTGATAAATTTGAGTAATTCCATTCTAAACTTGTATATTATATTCATTCAGTACACACAGACTGATATATTTCAAATGTTTACTTCTTTTAATGTTGATTATTATAACTGACAACTGATGAAAATCCCAAATTAAGTATCTCAGAATATTAGAAAATATTAGAATAATGTGAAAAGGTTCAATAAAGTGTGTGAATTATTATTTGATTGCTGGAACTAAATTATGTATTTTATTGATTGCTTAACAGATATTGAGATGAACTGCAATCTTGATCAATGCACTTCCTGCATATTTGTCTTCTTTGATTTATTTCTCTTAAAATAATTGGAACAATAAATCGGTATAATCAGGTAACCTAATCAATGTCTTTAGTTTCAAATTTCTACATTGGGTTTTATTTTGTTTCCTTGAATTATTATAAATCATGATACTATTATTGTAGAACAGTTGGGTCTACAGGAAGCTCATTTGGGTATTTTGTTTTGTAGAAATGAAAATCTAGAAGAAAGTGCACATTTTTATATACTTTAAGATGTATTTTCTCCTTTACAGATTGATTAGGTTTGTTTTTGTGGTTTCACACACAGACATGGACAAAATAGTTGGTACCCTTCTGTGTTTTCAAGCACCCATCATGTAGTACAAATACACACAACAGATCTACAAGTTTGTGCTTTTTGAAACAGAATGACCTTCATATTCGGTCAATGAAAGAAAAACCCATAATGGTCGCAGAAATAACTTGAATCTGACTAAAGTAATAATAAATAAAAATCCTAAATTTAACCAAAGAAAGTCAGATATTGCTTTTCAACCATGCTTCAAAGGAATTATAACCTAATGGAACAGGCCTGGACAAAATTCATGGAACCCCTAACTTAACTCATTCACTGCCATTGACGACTAAAGTCGTCATTTGCATTTTTGTTTACTGTTTGAGCATCGGAACGAGCCCCCACGCTGAGAGAACAAACATCTCAGCCCTGAAGCCGATCTTCATCCGCATACGTCACAGATCACATGATCAGGAAGCAACACATCCATGTGTTTGGAGATCGTTTTGGGACGTTCCTGTAAAAAAAGTGAGGCGCGAACCGGAAAAGCGTCTGCCGATCACAATTCGACAACGGATTATGAAAGAACGGATAACGCTCGAAACACGCAGCTTCTTCCTAATGTAAGAGGTGAGTCTCCTCTTTATTTTGGTTGTTTTGGCATCGACATCATGCTAGCGCGCAACGTTCTGTGACTCTTAAAAAACAGTAAAAACGGTGAGAAACGCTGGCAGCGAAGGCCGTTAGTGATCAGGAAACGGCTGGCAGTGAATGAGTTAATATTGCATAACCTTTTGAGGCAATCACTGCAATCACACGATTCCTGTAACTGTCGGTGAGACTTCTGCACCTCTCAGCAGGTATTTTGGCCCACTTCTCATGAGCAAACTGCTCCAATTGTCTCAGGTTTGAAAGGCGCCTTTTCCAGACGACATGTTTCACCATCTTTCAAAGATGCTCAATAAGATTGAGGTCAGGGCTCATAGAAGGCCACTTTAAAAAGTCTTAGACATTCTTGGGTGTTTTTAACTGTGTGTTTTGGGTCATTGTCCTTTTGTAAGACCCATGAGCTGCAACTGAGATCAAGCTTTCTGACTCTGGCCAACACATTTCTCTCTAGAATCCCTTAATGGCAAGTGACCCCAGAATATAACACAGCCTCCTCCATGTTCCACAGTAGGGACAGTGCTCTTTTCTTGATATGCTTAATTATTCCATCTGTGAACATAGAGCTGATGTACCTTGGCAGTAAGTTTCATTTTTGTCTCATCTGTCCATAGGGCATTCTCCCAGAAGTTTTGTCGCTTGTCAACATGTAGTTTGGCATATTCCAGTCTGGCTTTTTTATGATTTGTTTTCAACAATGGTCGAATGGTCCTTGGTCGTCTCCCATGTAGTCCACTTTGACTCAAACAACAACAGATGGTGCGATCTAACACTAGTGTTCCTTGATCATCAAGTTGACCTTGGATCTCTTTAGAAGTTTTTTAGGGCTCTTTGTTACCATTCAGATTATCCGTCTCTTTGATTTGTTATCAATTTTCCTCCTGCGTCCACGTCCAAGGAGGTTGGCTACAGTCTCATGGATCTGAAATTTCTGAATAATGTGTGCAACTGTAGTCACAGGAACATCTAGGAGATGGTCTTATAGCCTTTACCTTTAACATTCTTGTCTAAGTTTATTTCTAAACTCCTGAGACAGCTCTTTCCTTTGCTTCCTGTGGTCCATGCTGAGTGTGGTACACCATGTTACCAAACAACACAGTGACTACCTGGAGCCCTATGTATAGGCCCACTGACTGATTGTAGACAACTGTGATGCTAATTAGTGGACACACCTTAATTGAACACGTCCCTTTGGTCCGATCATTTTCAGTATTTTCTAGAGCTACCATTATTTTTGTCCAGGCCTGTTCCATGAGTTTCTTTTTGAAATAATTCCATTGAAGCATGGATGAAAAGCAACGTCTGACTTTCATTGGTCAGATTTCATAGAAAGGGCATTATAGTAACAGTTAGACATCGAGAAGGTATAGTGTGATGATCTGGGGGATGTCTGACCTTTGACCTGAAACAGGCCGTTCATGCAGGTAAACCCTCAAAAGTGTGACTTAAGAATTCTGAACAGAAGAGTGGGACAGAAATCTTCCATAGAGATGTGAGACTCATTACCATTTACCACCGATGGTTACCACTAATGCTAGTTTGCCTTGACTAAATTTGTAGTTTGGACCCACTCTGGAACCTGCACAAACACCAATAGAGGCTTCTCCTATTTTTCTTCCTCTTTTTAGTAACTTTTTTTTCTAGGGACAGCTGTTTGGTTCCCCCAAAAGAATTCCAACATTTACGACCTGTCCCAAAATTATCCTGTAAAAGGGGGCGAGAACAGAACAAATAAACACACTAAAATCAATCCCGTCAAACAACTGTTCACCAAACAGCAAATTGAAAGTTGATCTGTTTTCAGTTGCATTCTTCAGATGAAGTGATGTGGGCAGCACTGATTACATCTCGGACTGTCTCTGGTCGTTTCAGACACTTAAAAACACGTCAATGAACATTTTTCTCTTGAAAGAAAAAGTGAGCTAAGCTGGACCACCTCAAGAAGTAGAGGGTGACTCATTATTGTAATGAGCCGTTTTCTGGAACATTTGGCAGCAACCTTGAATTGTACGCATCGACATATATACGACAAAACTTCTTAGAGCTGTTAGTAATTACACTGTTTAATCAGATTTAAATAAATAAGGTAATCTGTAACGGATCGTTGTCATCTCAGGCTTTACTCCTGACAGTTTTTGGTAATTCCTACAACACCCTCGTTTTCTAATGTCAACATGAAAAATGTAAATCCAGTGTTTAGAAAACTGATTACCAGATGTTTGAGTCACACATGAAGTTTGTTTGGATACAACTGATGACCTCAATGAATGTTCTAAAACATTATTTTATGTAGGTTTTGACTTTTTTCATAGATCCTAATTTATAGCACAGCTTCTTGTATCAGCTCTATTTGGTGCTACTACCCAAGAGGAACAAACGCAGGTAGCCGAGCTCTCTGGTTTTCCTATTTGTATTACAGCACCTTTAAGGCCAGCAGCGCCACCTAGTGAGATAACATGTGCAGAACGTGAGTTGATCACAAGACTTTGACCTTTTTTTAAAGAGAAATTCCCAAAAATAACAATCAGTGGCAGAACTCTTTTATTACTGAATAAAAATTGGACATGACCACGTGCAGAATAAAAACCAGTGTAACAAATGTACAAGCCTAAAAGAAACTTAAATGCTTTGCTTTTCCTGTTGGGGGAAAACAGCAGAGTAAAATAAAGATCACCACTTGTTCAAGCAACGTATATCTGTCCAACAAAAGAAAATAACTAACCACCTGTCAGCCCCTTCATGTGCAAACATTCTGATCATTCCTGAACATTTATTTTTACATTTACCCATTTCACTGAACAGTTTGCTTTTATAAATCAAAGCATTCACATTTTGTCAGTGGTCATCAAAACTTTACATTGTAAATAAGTTTGTAACTTTACAGATTAAACCAGAGACACGAGTAGGCTAGGCGGGACAGGGACAAAGACAAGCATGGGGCTGAGAAGACCTCTGCTGTCTTTAGCATAGACAAGACAGAAATGTCCCCTCTAGGAGTCCCTGCTGGATCCAGATGTTGTCGGAGGTGGGAACTAAACATTTAGTCCAGTTATCAGTCTGTGCCAAAGCGGCATGAGTGTTTGGTCACTTGGTTAAACGGTTGATAGATGGGGAAACCATGAAGATAGATTGTTAGTATGAAATCAGATGAAGACAACTCTACTTAAGAGTTTAATCATGAAATAAAATCAGGACAAATTCTGCAGCAGCGACACGAGTAACCAACAGCAGCCTGACAGGTTCTGAGTCACAGTAGTCATGCTAACATAAAACGACAAACTGTTTAATTTGGCCTCATTTCATTACCATCTCCGAACAACATCTTCTGGCATGCCACCATGATTCAGAGAGCACATCCAACTTCATAAAATAGAATCGGTCCTTCAGCCCCAGTGCTTGTCTCCATTTGCGTCTCAGCGCCGATGACGGCTATGTCCCGAATGTCCACTACTGCTGTGGTGTTTGCTCTTGTGGCTGCGCTCCCGGTCTCTGTCCCGGTCGTAGGACCGAGACCTCTCCCTTTCCCTCCTGTCTCGATGTCCACTCCCTCGCTCGTGTTTGTGTTTCTTTGAAGACAGATCAAAGGAGCTGCGGTCTCTGTCTCTCTCCCGTTCCCGTTCTCTGTCCCTGTCCAATTTGACGGGAGTGCGAGACCGTGACCGCTTCCTCTTGTGGCCCGAACCACCACTGCTACCATGACGCCCACTCATCTTGGGGTTGCTGATGCCATGGTGACTTGCCTTGGTCTTGAGGTGTGAAAGGAGAGGAGACAGTTGGTGCCGTCGTGGCGATGGACTGCGACTATGAGAGCGGGACCGTGAACGAGAGCTGTATGTTCCTGAGCGGCTGCGTCTGCTGATGCACAAGAGACAGGAACAAATGTCACTGGTGAGTTCAGAGTAACACTTGTTGTCTCGGTATCTTTCCCTCTCAAACACACACACACAGAAACTTACTGTCTGCGAGCAGAGCGGGATCTGGACCGTGATCTTGAACGAGAACCACTTCCACTCCTGCTGTTTCTCCCGATCTTCACCTCCTTCCTCAACCTACAAATACACAAATGTACACACTATAACCATCCCCTCCTGAAACATCTACAGAAGGTCTTCACAGAGCACGAGCCCGGGGTTTATGCTTACCCGTTATGTGGACTCTTGATCTGACCGCGGTTTTCCGGTTCCTTCTTTATGGGTTTGATGCTCTGCGGATTTGGGGATTTATCCTCCACCTTGACCACGTTAGGGGTGGAAGGCTTGGAGGCAGGAGAGAATCCACCCATATTAGACAGGGCAGGGGTCCCATCAGGGTTGAGGCCTTTGGCCTTCAGCTTGGCCTCTGCCAAAAACACCTTCCGCCGCTCCACCTCCTTCTCCAGCTGATCGTAGTTTGGCTGGAAGAAAAAGTCTAGCTTAACATCTTTTCCCAAGAATTAAAAATATGAATTTTATTTTAACATTCAATAGAATCTTTTATTCTTAAACATGAAAATAAATAAGACATTAAATATCCAACAAATTTCTAAAACAAACCACAGGCGCTACACCAGCAGACTAAAATCTAAAATTAGTCAGCTAAATTTAAACCATCGATTAGGACATGAGCAGTAAAGACACTCATCTCTAATTAAAAGTAAACTATTCCATCACTTAAGTTTAGTGATGTTAAGTAAACAAGGGCTTAATGGAAGCCAGTGTCACCAAAGCGCTTTACCTTCTTTCTGGTGTAGAGTTTAAGGGTGGTGACGCAGATCTCCTTAATCTGATCCTCAGTGACTCCAAACAGCAGGTACCAATGAGGTCTGGTTGGTAGCGGCATCTAGAAGAGAACAAGGCTGTAAACATGTGGAGGCACCACACCAACTATAGCCCATCTACTGAGCGGTGTTGATGCGGATGGGAAAACCATGATTATAAACAGCTGTTCCAGGTACCTGCAGAGCTCGGGCAGCGAGGTAAATGCAGGCACAAGCGATGGTTTCAGCTTGGAATTTCACAAACACATTTGTCCTCAGGCTGTCGTTCATGTAGTTCCTATCAGGGCAAACAGACCAGAACAAACATAGCATCTTCTCTACACAAGCAACTTCTCACCACATCCCACTGGACATCAATAACCAGCAGCATTAGGCAATAATGCCAGTTCCTCATCAATACATTTACCCTGATCCACAACCACAGAAACGCCTTGAAGTTTAACTTTGTCCATTTCTCTCTGGGGCATCCATTGGAGGGCGGCATGTCACACAGACAGAAAACTAAAGGAATATGAAGGGAAAAGAGGATGACGCTCCAATCCAAAGAGCATTTAGAGGACACCCACAGATGGCCGAGACATACATAGTGGGAACATGCAAACACAAAAGTGTGGAAGATTCCTGCACAAAGCTGCAGTCAGTTTCAGAGTTTTGGGATCTGAAACACACACACACAGCACGCTTATGATGTCATGCAAAAGCTAGTCAGATGTAGGGCCGAGTCGAGTCACTCGTTTTTCAGTTATAACTGTTGCTAAGTGATGGGGTCGTATTTCAACATGATGCATTTATGTTCTCACATCAAGACAGTTGATTTAATGACAACAGAAACCCAGGAAGCGGTTGTTTCCGTGCAAAGACTTAAGTATGATGCTGTGATGGCCAGACTGGTGGCTGGTGCTCGTGCACCAAGAGGGAATGAAGCCAGTGAGGGTCGGAGCAAAGCGCTAACCACTAGAAGGTACTTTGGTTCCAGATTTAAGAAAACAGGAACACAACAAGGAGACAAATGGTGGTCTCAAAGTGCAAAGGAGTCCTGAAGATCATGAGTGTAAATGCAGAGTTTACTTAAACAGGACGACTGGCTAGTGTACTTTTGTTTTGATTTAATGTCTGAACAACCATTTCATATTCAAACATGGACTTTTATACTACAGCCATTATAAATAAAGTTACAAGTTTTAATTGAGGGACTATTGTTTACCTTTTATGAGGCTACATTATACTTTAAACCTCCCACTGCCTTCATGGTCACCCCACCACCTCACCCCTGCCACATGGACCTCAAGGGATAAACCACTGATCCTACTCAATGGTCAACTTTCCTGGCGGGGTCATCCATGAAGACAGTGGGAGGGTTATGATGTTTCCAGGGGGATGGTCAGTACTTTTAAAGGCTGATTTAAATTTGGCGTTTCTGCTACTGCAGGTCAGTGTTGCACTAGATGTACCGGTACACACAAGCTTTAACTAAGTAAAACACCTGTTTACGTGTTTGTGAGCAAGAGAGATGATGCCTGTTTCTACCAACAATACGTCTGGCTAATTTTACTGAATGTTCGCAGACTGCGTCTTCAGTTTACTGGGCAAGCCTGAAACGACAATATAAGAATCTGTGCTCCGGTATGTACTTGGAATGACCCGGTAGAGTTGCTGAATGGGACTTGTTAACTCCTGCTGATTGGTTGTAACTAAAACCTGGATAATACTTATGTCTGCGGAGGTGTGGAGACACGCAATGCCATTATTCATGGTCGCAAGGGCTTTCCAACAGGCTCGCTAAATCAGACAGAGCCAATTTTCTAATTTAACTATTCGCTGAAAGCAATAGGAAACCGCAAGCCAAACAAAAGCTTAAGATATCTAGCGGTAGCCTAGAAATCTAAACAGGCAAAGCAAAATGATTTTGCTCAGCATATATTTACATATATAGGATGATTTTCCAGGCTAATCTAGCAACAGACACGAAGAAAGAAGAATGTTTTGCAAATAAATAAAGATATAAATGTTGATACAACTATGACTGAAGGAGCACAAAGCAGCAACATTTTTGAGTGGACAAAATAAAGGGTAACATGTATTTTTCTGAGGTGGAAGAGAATGAAATTTTTTTTATGTTAAAATGTCTCTGAAATACTAACGCAGAGAACAGGGGGCAGCATAAATGAGTTTTTAGTAGGAAATGACAACAGCACACTTTGCCAAACTGAAGAGTTGCTGGTGAAGCTTTAGCATTCTGCTTTAAAATTGCCATTTCTAAACTCCCACAACAGGAGGAAATTTACTGTGGGTATTTTTGCATAGAAAATGGTGCTTCTTCTAGCGATTTAATACATTTTTAAGTCACACATATGCGCTTCTTATCCCCTGATTACTTAACGGCTACTTTAACAGAATAAAAGCAAATGTTATTAAAGCCTATGATGCATTTTGGTTTCAAAGATGAAACACGTCATGTGCAACATGTAGCATCATACACAGTGACTGTTTATATTTCATGCTTTATTTGATTTTAACAATATATCCAACATCCCAGACGGGACTATTTGTTAATTTTAGATATTTATGTCACTACAACGACTCAAAACGCTTAAGGCTTAACTAAAATTAGCTTTCCCTTTTCTTTAATTTGAAGCTCTTTTAAATTGTAAAAATAAATAGAAAATAAATTAAAATCGTGATTAAAATTGAGATGTAACTGAATGGAACACTACAGAACTATATTTTTTGCCATACTGCCCAGATTTTATATATATATAGAAACAATTTTTTGTTTTTATATATAGTGAGGTATTAAGTGAGATGATTGGAGTTATACCAACCACCCGTAGTCTGCATGGCATTAAAATGTTGCTAAAAGTTAAATAAAAAATGTTTCTCAAACTGAGGTTTTAGTGATGTGACATTACACTATGGAGTAGATTAAATTGAACGATGAAACAAACCTTAAGGAGACAGATTGTGTTTGTTTGCATCTTGCTGCATTGACTTCAATAATCTACGGTGATAAACTCTGCTGGTCCAGGCTTAGTGAAATCCCTGAGCTCCACAGCAGATTATGTGTCAAAAGGTTGTCTGGACAAAGACGGATACCATTAGCTTAGGGTAGAAGCTGATGAGACAAAGAGGTTCAGGGGCAAACAAAAAGGGGTGTGTGAGAATTTATAAGTTATAGAAACTAAACATGTGATGAGAAGAAAAGGTGATAAACTCTTCATAAACAATTAACCATCACTGATGTAATTATTAAATCTCTGCTGTTTTAAAGCGGGTTGGGGCTTCTACACCAGAGTGAGAGGAAAGACCATACAGGTGATCCTTTCAATCCAAATAGTTTATCTTAAAGAGACCAAGTCTGACTACAGGGAACACAACTGAATGTAACTGCTGCGTAGTTGGGACCGGTCATCTGAACCAGGATCAGCCTGTAAGACAGACATGTCTGAACACCATGTCAGTACCAAACACAGTTTTACTGTTCAATGCAAAACAGGCAGAAAAAGTGGCCCAAAAAATACTTCTGTGTATGTTGGTTAAGTTTACTTCATTACTAATTGCAAGTAAACTAGAACAACATATGATGAATCTATCTGTAGCTACTAGGACTTAAAGGAATTACAGTTGAGAATCTTAGTAGCAAGACCAGAAAAATACAAATCCTTTGGACACCCAAGAGAAAACAAGATGATGCTGGCTGTCGGGAAAGGCCCGCCCACCCCCTCCAGTGCATCTTGGCTGTCAGGAGAGGGGTAGCCAGCCAAGAGGGGGAGCTTCCTGAGGTCATGTGGTTGGAGGAGGCAGAGTTCAGAGGTTCTTTATGTGACTTACCAGCATGGACTACCCTTTAATCAAAGAGTAGAGAGAAAGGACAAAGTTAAACCAAGTTCTCCGAGCAACGCAAAATAAACACTTTACATGTAAGGGCAGACAAGTAGCAGGCTTGCAAAATAAGAAGTTGTGCCATCCCAAAAATAAACACACAAATAAAAACAAATTATGTAAATAAAAGACAGAGAACCTAAAGCAGACCTGGGCAAAATGGTGGCTGAATGTGTTTCAAATAGGGCTGGGTGATATGGAGAAAATTCCCATCATGATATTAGTTTTCAGAGATGTATCACAAAATAAAACAGATCACTATATTTGTCTATCTTTTATGTTCTCTCTGTAGTTGCTGTAGCAATCTACTGTGCAGGGAACGATTAATCTGCAGAGATATTCCGTGTTTGGTCTTGACTTTCCCTTCTGGTTCTGGACATGTGAGCATGCCGTGTAGAAAATAAGTGAAATAAATGTTACATGCATGGTGCTTAAAGTCACCATGCACGACTTCAAACTCACTCTTATCTGGGATCATAAAGTTTTACATCCTGGTGGTTATCTTCAACAGTCAGAAATTGCGCTCAACATATTAGCGACACAGCTATGAGCTACAAGCCAAACTACGTCCACATAACTGATTTGTTTGGTCCCTTATTGTCAGCAATGTCATTTGTTTTGTCCTCTGTCCTTTTTATGTTTGTGGCACTCATTTTTTCTTGTTTACCCGCCATGTAACCTTTTACCTGCAGCAGACTAAAGCTACGCTAACATTAGCCGCTATCAGAGTTTGTCAGGCTGCTAAGGAGCCTTGAAGCTCTTTTCTTTAAATCAAAGTTCTATCGACCCGTTCTCATAAGTCTATTGAGAAGTTATTTTGAAGAATATATTGTTATCGATTCATCACCCAGCCCTGTGCCGTTTCCAAAAAGAGCACCTGAGCATCTTTGACTGACAGGACTTGTGTCCTAAGTGAGGCAGCTCCAAGCTCCTGACAGGTTTACATCAAATGCTCTTCATCAGCTCAATCATTTGAAACGTGTTCAACTCCACCTTAAGCCCATGTCTGGTGGCACTCTGCTGCTGACGGGAAGGAACTTACCAGGCTGTCTGGACCAGAACCTGATTCTTCTCACATTCCAGGACTTGGAGGTACATAACGACAATCTGAAATCATATATTTTTTATTGAAACCAAAGCAGTGATGACTACAACCTGTGCAGTGGTACCAAAACTGATGTAAAAGAGAAGAGTGTCTTAAACTCACCTTGTGTGGATGCTTGACATGAACACAGAAGCCCAACTCTTTCAGGACCCGCCGTTCTGCTTTGATGACTTGGTTTTTGGTATTAATGTAGTTCTGATCAAGTATCAATGGACTTGGAGTCCTATTTTGCAAAAGAATCAAAATAAAATTGTTTTCCCATTTCATTTTAAATCTAAAAAATAGGAAAGTACCCTTCTGAATTCTTGCACTTTTCCCCGCTTCAACCAACTGAAAGCAACAAGTTACTGTTTTCATATCTGACAGTGTGCCGGCTGGGGTTGTGGACTCCTGTGGTTTCAGTGACAGCTTAGGGCTCTACAGATGAACTCTGACCTCATCCTTCACCCAGAACTTGTGCAGAAATATCACATGCTGCTCAAAGGCACATCAATACACCTGACCTCGTAATAAAACTATACTTGTTTAGACAACACACACACACACAACTAGATCTATCACCAACGTATCACACCACCTGTACCAGGACGTTCAGAGCAGAAAATCTACTTGAAACTCAAAGAAAAAAATAATAAAAAAAAAAAAAAGCCAATGATGCAAACTGATGCCAACATTGACCTGTCTGCCAATAAATAAATAAAAACAAACTACAAAAAAAATTATAAATAAAAAGAGTTTCACTGCATGTAGTTTTATCTGAATAAGTTTAGGAAATTAAATTCATGCCATCAACCTTTGCTTAAAAGATTAAAATTACATCCGTCTGAAATTTGATGCAGCAAAACTTTCCCTTAAGTATTAAGAGGCTTTTATTATAAACTAATGATAAAACTCCTAAAGTTTAAGTTTTGGTATCTCCAAGAAATTATGCCACAAACCACATCCCAAAAATGTCTTCCAACAATCCATATGCCAAATAGAAAAACCAAATATGCAACCAGAAACTACTTATAGGCGTGTATGTCATCCTTATCACACAAACGATGGTTTCTATTTATAACAAGATGTATAATAGAGCTACACTACATAGACTGGCCCTTAACTGGCAAGGACCCCAAACAAGCTTTAACAACAGCAAAGATATTTCTGTGAAGACCATGGTTTGTGGAAGATGAATGAAGGTTTGCTTTTGATGTACAAATCAAAATGCATGGTGAGAAGCAGTCAGAGAAAAAAAGCTACATTACCCCATGGTCCGCAGATATACGGACAGATACCCAAAGCTTAAGACTGAACCACAGGAGTCCTCAAGGTGCCCCACAGGCCAAGGACCTTCGGCCAACCTGTCATCCCCGATCCCAGTGCCCCGCGGTGGCCCAGACCACGGAGTCTCCCACAGGAGGGGATGGGGCGGGCCTGGGGGGACGACAGAGACCCCCTCGCATCATGGTTGTCATGCCGACTGCTTCATCTTACGTACCATTCCACATCACCCAGGCTTTGGTAAATGTAGCTGGTCGCTGTTAGTTGGTTGCAAGGGAAAAAAGAAGCAAGTTAATGCCAAGATCTAGAACAAGACCAACATTAAAGCATGAGGCACACAAAGTAGGTATGCCTCATCTTTGACAGACTTATGTTTAACACCTTTAAAAACTACCAATGAAGCTGGAACTGAAAAGTTTTTAAATGGTTTAGAATGCATGAATAAACAGAAGGGCACTTTCACAGCAGAAGCATATCAGCAACAATTCACAGAAAAATCCTGAAAAGTTTAATGCTTCAACTTACTTTTTGCTTCTGAGCTGCCTCAGGTGATGGAAAACGTTGATGACGTCTCGTATTCGTCGGGGTGCTTCTTCGATTTTTGAGGCCAAGTTGACGCACGCCATGGCAACGATCTGAAAAAAGACGACAAGACAAAATTTGAAGGAACAGTACGCCAACCTGTTGGTGGTATGTCCAAGTGTCAACCAAGACAAAGATTATTGTCATTTCTGCCACAAAATAAAAAACTGGCTTCATAGTAACTACAATTAAGCGTCTTCGGTGAGTGACACACTAAATGTAGTTATCGAACCAAAACTAACCGTAACGCATAGTTACGTGCTGCATTTATCTGATCAGTTTAGCTGACCTTTTAAAACTACTACCGACAGTTAAATGAGATGTGATGTTTTAACTTGTTTAGCGTGACCACTATTTTTAGCATAAACCGGCGTAATCTGTTAAGTTAACCATAGTAAATTTTAAAAAGTACGTATTTGTTAGGTTTATGGAAAAAAAATACCCCCCCCCCCCCCCCCCCCCAATATATGGAAACTCGGAAACAATATGGCTGCCACGAACGTCACGAGAACGTTCTGTGCTTTGCTGTCATCACCGGCAACTGGGTAATGCCGAAACTCTTTAATGATCTTACCTCGAAACTGTGCTTTACGAAGGACTTGGAGTAGAAGAACCGATGGAAAAGAACCTGACCCGTCGCCAAAGCCACCTGTCAAAGACAAAAAGGTACAAAAATTCTATAAACCGGCCTATAACCTTACACAATATACCCGCCGCCATTTTGATTCCACCACGCCAACATCAGCAGACCGCCAAGGCCGCGACTTGCCAAAGCCACTTGTGGTTTGTCGTGAATAACAGCAAAATATCAAAAATATGTGTCTTAAATCTTCGAATACACGTACCTGAGGTAACCGGAGAAGAATACCCGCCGACTGGAGCAATTCGCAACCAAGAATACGGAGGTCGGTCTCGGTGTTAGCGTCGAGGCCGTCGAGCATAGATGGCGTCGGACAGAGCCTTTCCTCCGGTACCAGCGAGCTGTCTATTGTTAGGCACACTTCAGAGTAAAGTTTGTCCCCAATGAGAATACCATCGTTGTTAGTGGACGCGTTAGAAGAGACAGATAGAGGACCCGCGGCCATCTTTGACAGACAAAAAAACAGCTAACAGCTAGAACTCGCGCAGCCTCGACAAAACGGCGGCTGGAGGGAGACAGCCGGGTGACAAAGGACGTGACGTCACTGCCTAGTGGCGGAGGACGTCAAGTGTGTATACATCCGCGGTGAAAAATAACCCCCATCTTAAAGCAGCCTTTCAGCATTTTCTAACAAATATTTGAGCTAATTTAAAACTTTTTGACAAATTTATTAGTCTAAAATTGTCATCATACAGTGTAAAGATGAATACAATATATGGAACTATTTATTACGTTTTTTCCATCTACAAAACTATAAAGGAAGTCAATCAAATATGTCTAGAACTATTGATCCAAAACTTGGACTTTAATGAAACAAAACTGGTTTAATTGGTTAGATTTTCATCGTTCACTTATCATATTTGGTGTTGACAAATATGTTTTTTAATAGAATAATTTCCTCATGAAATATTTTTTATTTACTTTACGCAGTATCTTTTTTTTTTCAAAGTGCAACAGGAGGAACCGACTCACCACAAATGGTTTCTGTTACGGGAAAGCACAAACTCCTCACCGCTGTCTCTGGAACATATCCATCCGCCGATTAAAAAAAGTATATATATATATATATGTATGTATATATATATATATGATTATATTAATTCGGTCAAACTACGCAGTTATTTTTAAGGTTAAAAAAGTATGTCCACGGCATTAAAATGGGTTATTACGGTTTTAAAAGCTGCTTAAATAGTCAAGTTACTGAATCGGATAATTTTTCATGAGTTTAATAATTTATCTGTAATTGGTTAAAAAAAGAATACACGAATAAAATTAAACACTTAATAAAGTTTCGTGTGAACAGTTTGTCCCGAGGAACAGAGAGGCACCTGGCTTGCAAGAACACAGTGTTCACCACCACTCAGCTTCTAATTTTTGATTAAAGTGTTGCAGTAGCCCAAAGTGAACAGCAGAGGTCAGCAGAGTATCACTGGTTCGTTGACCTACACTAAACACTGGGGTTCTTCAGGTTTCTCACTTTATTCTAAGGACTTGTGCAGCATGCATAATTTCTCCACCAATACTACTACGTTTGTATTACAATTAACCAGAAATTGTTAATTAAATGTAAAATTTTACTACTTTTTCGCGAATGTTCAGCCCAACTCTTGCACCTGATTACAAAGTGTGGTGAGTGTGCTTTAAAATGAAGGAATTACACAAGTGGAGGACCAAATTTTAGCAAATGCCTCATTGGGAATCTCCTTGTAGGAACTAAAACAATGTTTGTGTGAGATTGAATTCAATATCGATTTTTACTCAACAAAAAACTCTTACTTTACAGATTCACTGAGACACAGTAAACCTAGAGCTGGTTCTCTGGTATGTAGAGATCACATGATCCATAGACAGCTGGTAGATGGAGGAAATGAGGACTCAGTAGGAGCTCAATAGCATATTATTGTCTCCAGACATGCTCATATACTTGGTTATTTGTTCTATTCTAAACTTCTTGTGATCACCACTATCACAGACTGTCCAAAGCTCTAAATAGCAGGATGAGACATCATCCCCCCCCCCCCCCCCCCCCCCACACACACACACACACAGATTTATTTGCATGATCTTGGTGACGCACTGCATAAAGTAGCAGGCTGAAGTGTCTCTTCTCTGTCATTAACCAACACCTCCACCTCGCACCTCCGACCAGCACTTACGCAGTTACCATGACAACCAGAATACTAAACATTCTTCCTCCTGTTGCCCTGGTGATGCTAATTATAGGGTGTGGGAGGGCTCGAGGGACAGCAGAATTCCAAAACGACCATAACGACGCAGGAGAGAGGCGTCGGGGATGCCCAGTGACGAACAAGGGCTTAGTTATAAACACACACACCACTCCCTGGAGTGTGTGTATTTACAAGCAACTAACACAGATTGCCCTGGGGACATGTATGTATGCCTGCCCCACAATGATAATCACTGTGGTGAGATCACAAACCTTTTTTGTGCGTGTGCATGGCATGCATATTTGACTTAAACGGTTGCGTGTGCCAGCATTTGTTGAGTGACAGAATTAGAATGTTTCAGATGGATCAAGGAGTCTTTTTATGTCAGCTTTTATGCACATGGGACGTAGAAAGAGCTGCAAAGAGTTGATTCTCTCTCACACATCAACTCCCTCACACTTTTCCAAAAGCACAAATGCAAACTTACCAGGAAGAACACCAAGTCGAGGGCTACAAAGCGAGCAAGAGCAAAGGAAAAAGAAAAGGCCCCAGAAAAGGGTTAAGGCGAGAGCTGACTGGATCTAAAATAAAGTGAAGCCACAGATAGCTAAGAGAGGGAATTGCTCTGCAGCAGCAAGGTCAGAGGGGATGGATGCCAAAAGAAGGCCAAGGAGATTAAAAGAATAATACAGAGAAGGATTCGTGTGTGTGTGTGTGTGTGTGTGTGTGTGTGTGTGTGTGTGTGTGTGTGTGTGCCAGAGGTACAGAGCGTGTCTGACACAGAATAATGGAGGTGTGTGTGTTTGTGTTTTGAGGGCAACAGAGAGAGATAGAAGGTGTGTGTGGTTAGCAATCAGTCATACAACATAAAACAAAGAAAGCCTCTGTCTGGCAAAGATGGATGCTTTCTCTGCAAAAAGAAATTAAGAAAAGCAAAGATTAAAGTTACATTAAAGCAGAGTTATTTGTCTGAGGGCCTCATCTAGAGGTAGAAAAATGTATTACACCATTGGCCCGTCTCCCTACTTCCGTGATTACCAATACATACACACACACACACACACACACACACACACACACACACAAATATATATATATATATATATATATATATATATATATATATATATATATATGTATGTATGTATATATATGTACTTTACTCAGAGATTTAATATGAATAATGTAAACTAGATAACTTTAGTGTGTGTTTCTTCTGATTGCATTATTAGGTGATATTTTTGATCACAGGAAAGGTTATTTTACCTTTTTTGCTGACAGTTTTGACCACTCCTGAGGTCTACTACAGAGCTAGTCACTAATCAAAATAGATTTTTATTTACATACTGAGTGAGGATGTGAGTGCTGAAGTGGTCCTCAGAGAGACACACGTGGAGATGAATTCTAACATCAGCAATGAAACAATGTTTTTATTTTAAGGTTAATGATCAGACTGCATGTTTGTTAGAGTAAGATGACTCGGATGATGAATTTAGAATAATGAAAAGTAAACCCCCATAAAGATCTGAAAACATATAATAAAGTAATTTGTGTATTTTGGACAAAAATAAATATTTGGTTAAATCAAATGTCAAAAATGTCCATTTGGTATTAGTATTTAACAGAAAGTAAAATGCATCACAATTGCGATTGATAAAATTTGTGTTCACGACACATAAAATTAATTGAAAAAGCTTCATTAGTGTATTTATCCTGAATCTGTGAAACAAAAACATTATTATGTGATGTAAAAACTTTCTTTAACAGAACCAAAAAAAGATGTGAAGTAAAAAAAAAAGTTCTGTCATGCTAAAAGAGAACGTTCTCTCTTTGTGGACCGTCGTTTCCAACAGATAAACCACGTGCACGTGTGTTTGTGCAAACAGGAAACGTTGCCAGGAGAAAACATTCTTTTCTCATCTTTCATGTGAGTGATGTGCACGTGTGCATTGTCTCGCTGATGGACCGGCAGAGAGGAAAGCAGGAAAGTCAAACTAAACAGCTTGTGTTTGTGTGTGCCAGCAAGCAGGAAAATGAGCTCCGCGCCTCACACACCTCATGCCTTTGTCTATTGTGGCGATTCGTCCTAAATGTGGAGGGAGAGAGAGAGAGAGAGGATTGAGGGACCTTCTGTAGAGTTAAACACAAAGCTTGAGAGAGCAGTGTGTGTGTGTGTGTGTGTGTGTGTGTGTGTGTGTGTGTGTGTGTGTGTGTGTGTGTGTGGTTTCTACGGACGACAGAAAAAGATGAGAAAACTGTAAAGAATCAAAAATATTCAAATGTTTAAACAATGTTATTTATACTAATTAGATTCTTTAGCATTCAGCAGGTTTAACATGTTTATTCTAACAGCTCTTTACTTCTTTCTTCATCATGAAACTGACCTTTTGTTGGACCTCACTGAATGACCTGCTTGTTTTCAGCCTAGGCTGTTGCCCCTCCCTCTCATTTCCTTCTCCTAACACCTGAGCCCTATTTCTGGTCTCAGTTCTCTGCTCCTCCTCTTTCTGTTGCAAGGCCTCTGGTTTTGGTTGTGCAGGTATGGGAGGGCTGGGATGTGTTTGAGGAGGTTGCAGAAGGAGAAAAGTACTTGGGCTTGACTCTGAAGATTATGGATCTTGTTCCCTGGTGGTGTCCTTATGTGGGGTCCAGAGGAATGCCACAGATTGGTGCCCATGGATCTCCAGCTGAGTTGGAGAAAGAGCACTGGGAAGTGATTTTTAGTATTAGTTATACTTCAGTTAAGCACTTTAGGGGCCCCATTGGTTTCAAATGGGGGGTGTAATCATAGCAACACAGGTGTGTTAATAAACTGTTATGGCATGATTAAAAAATGGGACAAACATTTCTCACCATTCTTTTAGTAAACATATTGTGTTCCTATTTCTAAAGGTGTAATAAAAGTGGCAGTGTGATGTTTCCTGCCACTAGGGGGCAGTACACACATTTCATAGCAGTTTAATGCCATATTGTTATGGCTGTCGCTAGTTTAAAAAAACATTAATGTTGTTACCTGTGGAACAGAAAACACGTGACCTCGGCGTGACTCCTCAGACTTTGATGGTCCTTCATTTAATTCTATCGAGCGAATGCAATGCAGATGCTAGTTTTATGGCGCTGTATTCTCGGATGGTCCTTCGCCTGCTGATGATGTCATCATACTACAGCAATACCGCTCGGCCAAAATATATTTAATCTCTTTTACGATTCTGTTTTTTCACATACGTTTTGGAAAGAGTTTAGTAGTTTTGTTACGAAATTCACGTTTCTTACTCTCTAATGTTTTTGAACGTGGTAACGTAACTTCCGTAAGTCGTACGTCCAGCCAAGCATCTAGTGTGATGTTTTGGTCAAGCGTAGGAACCCA